ATTACTACTTTTTTTACTTTTACTTTTTCAGAGTAAAAGATACACCACAGACCCTCTCAGCTCCACCTACCAGCCAACCCCAGTATCTGTAAAAGCAGACAGCAAAGTAAGGTAAAAAGGCAAGCAGAGTTGGAGGGATCGTCACAACACTAAGCAACATTTTTCACACTCCAGCTTTTCAAACATACTTTCCAGAATTGATAACTCTGAACACACATTTTCTGTGGACCAGGAAACATGAAAACTCACCTGCCTTCAGGAGCTATGTGGTGGTAAAGCCATTTCATCTTAAGAATATCAGACTCGGCAAAGTCACCAGGCTGCATCGTCACACTTTTTCTCTAGATGTTGGCTGTGATGCACAGAAGAAGAGATTTAACTGTTTTCTTATCCTTAAGGCATTTCAGTGTGGATGCAGATTAGGAACACAACCTTTTCACAGCAGACATATTTTTGGCTCGTCAAAGAAGAAATTCCATTTATTCCTCATTCAAATTCCATGTAGATGAGCCAGTTCAAGGGCTCTGATATTGTGCAATTTAAATATTTGACTGAGATAGTCCCTGTTGATCTGGTTTTACATTCCCACATTCCCACTCAAACTGCGTCACCGTTCTGTCATCCATTAGGCTACCCTGGTAATTTCAGCCTCCGTTTGGCCACTGACCTCCATTATTCTTCACTTTTCTTTGTGGGTGGTTAGATCTGGTGCCTTGACAGACACTCGAGGAGAGAAACCAGGGAGATCTCTTTGATTTGAAGTGACAGCCGTGACAGAAAGTGTTCGGACCATCAGCCATCAGGTTCACCTCAATTATATTAGTTTCAGTTATACTGTCAGGGTGGACACAGTAAATGTTTGTAACGCCTCTCCGGTGTCTGAGTCTTTTCACTCTGATCTCTTTCTCTTTTCCTCTGCGGTGTAATCTTCATGAGTAAAGGTCAGAGTGTCTGCTCTTTTCTGTTCTTCTGTCACTGGACACGTCTGTTAGTCAAGTGCTTATTAGCTTTGGCCTTTAGCTCTTTAAAGATCAGGCTCCACCAGCTACCAGACCGACACTGATTCATTTTCACTGCCGAGCTTTTCTCCTCCGCCTGCCACCGCACATTGTTCAGAGATATTTCTGACTGGTAACAAAAGCTGTTGATGTTGCCCTTTTGATTGACACTCAGGGTGGAAATATATGCTGTAATATAACCACATAACACTAGTATTAGGTCAACACATGAGAACTTCAGATAGAACTTACACTTATCACAAAGTGGCCATTTCAAGAAATTCAATTTAGGAAAATTATTGTTTTTGTAGAGACTCGATGATATGATGTTGTTTGTCTCCGTCTCGCTTTGTATGAGGACAAGACTCAGACAGAGCACACATGTGATTTGGATGCATTTTGAGCAGATGATTTCCTGTGAATATTGATCAGAGATGAGTTTCCATGATATTGTTTTATTTCATTCTGTGTCTGTGTTATGTTTTTATTTTTTTTTTTAACAATCACACAGACTTAATAGGCTTTTTTGACAAATTCAGTGTTTTCTTCTTCCTGGCGCTGTTAGCTCTTTTGGTATTATAACTCTGTGAAGCTTTGGTGACCCCCTAGGTTTGGAACCACTGGTCTGGGTGTCCATTAATACCTGATGTAGGACACCTACTGAGTAGTTCCAGTGAAACTGCTCTAACATAATGGGCTGAAATAAACTGAATGAAAACAAAATCTGAATATATGATGAATATATCTCACTGCACTGGCTGTAGTCCTTTAGTGGCTCATCCTCTGAACATCACAGGATGGCAACTGTAACACACTGCCCCTCTGAACCTACTTGACACACAGCAATCCTCTCACATCCCGTTTGTTATTCAGCTCACTCCTTCAGGCTGCGGCCGTCAGTCACACGCCCTATCATTCGTGAAAATCTTGATATTGATTTGGGGACAATGACATGGCTGGATAGATAGCTTGTCTCTTTGTTAAACATACTGTCAAATTACATTTAGGGAACTAGGAATATCTCCCGTTGCCAAGTCATCCTATTTACTGGAGTAGTGAACAACGTTTCCATTGCATTACAACATTATGGGATTGTAATGATTCTTCCAGGTATTAGGAAGGACCTCAGGTGTTACCAAGGAAACAGAGTTATAGCTTGTAAAAAAAAAAGCTTGATTTTTATTGCAAAATGCATGGAAATATAAGATAATTATCTTATTTTCTTTTCTTTGGCAAGTGACCATTGTATAAGCAGGATAATGCCCTTTGAGGTGTCCACTATTGAGAATTGATAGATGATGTAGAAGCTGGTTGCATTAAGTCCATTTATGAGGTTACTGCGCTGAAATAAACTGAATGAAAACAAATGCCTTGTCCAACAGTTGTGTTCAGCACTACAGTAACCACCAGTTTTTCTCAACACTATTGTAGAAAAAGCACAGAATGCCTGCACTGCTAGCGGGAAAAGAAAGCGGACTAAATCTGCACTTCTTCTGGGTAATAACTAGATCTAAATCAACAGCTAGTGTCTGCATAGACTGATAATGCACCAATCTCCAACATGGCGCATAGCAAACGAAAATTAGGCCACCAGCCAAAAAAAGCAATGGTAATCTATTAAGTGGCTCATCAAATTTGAACACTCAGTAGCCATTTGGCCGGTGGACCAAAAACTTAGTTCTAATCACAGAAGTTTTTCTCTGGCCCCTCCTGCCTGATTTCAAAAAGTCATTAACTGCGAGCTCTGATTGACTATTTGAATGAATGTCCCTCAAACCACAGCAGGAACTTAAGACAACATGGTCACTGCATCTGACAAAGTGATCATCTGGAAAGACATAACTGTTGTGTAGTCGAGGCAGATGACCACCCACCTAGAGCCAGGGTCTGTCCAAGGTTACTGTCTCTTAAAAAGAAGTTTTTCCTTGCTGCCGTCGCCAATGCTTGCTCATGGTGGGAACTGTTGGGTCTCTGTAAATAATGTTATAAGGAGTTCGGTCTAAATCTGCTCTATTTGAAAAGTGTCCTGAGATAACTTCTGTTATGAATTGACGCTATACAAATAAAATTTAATTGAATTGAGTTGAATAGTCCGATCAAATAGATTTCTTGTCTTTTGAGGATAAGTCTAATACACGTAGTTTCCTCTAGCAGCGTTTTTGTTTCTTAACAGAACCACTTTAACACATAACATTTGTTGTGCTTGTAACTTTACAGCAGCTGGTGGGCAAAATATTGGCTTGCTGCTTTTGGAAGGAAGAGAACTGAATTGTCTTTTTAAAAGTCAAGCGGCATTTAAGCTGGCTTTCACTGTGTTTGTTCTTTGTAGGCCATTGTGAAACTCACTCTGCGTGTGTGCTCAGCGGGACACTGGTCAGCAGCCGTCTCTTTCAGAACCCGTCCATCTGGTGTTTGAGCTCTGAGTTGTCTTTTGGCCTGAATTTTCCAACACACACGCTGCCTAGTTTTCAGTGTTTAAAGTGTCTTTATTGTGCCGCTGCCCATTCGATTAACCACAGTTTAATCAGTCCAGGCAGACTTTCTGTCAACAACCTGCAACATTTACACATGTAGTGTGGGCTGTGTGCATTGTTACACACACACACACACACACACACACACTCACAAATTTCACTCCAGCCTCTGAGGATTGGATAATAACTAAGGCACAATCATACCAGCATATATATTGTACAGTCCTGCATTGTATAGTCTGCATCAATAAGTGGTCTTAAAGTAATTTTACTATATATATTGCATTAAAGTCCTTTGTTGATGCTATTTTGCATCAAAAGTTACAAACCTACTGAAAGAGTGCACATTTTTTTAATAATTCTGTAATCGATCACGTGACACATTACGCCCTTTATAGATGACGTTTAATATGAAGAAGGATACACACATGAAGGGGAACTGGAATATGAATCAATACCTGGAACCATAATCCTCTAATGGATTGAATTGTGTATGGGAAATGATATCAGCTTATATGTGCTATCTATCTTCAGTCTGCTGTATTTGACATGAGCTGACGCCACTTTCAGGCCCACACAGTGACCTGGAATAAACGGGTTAACCAGTGCCGTCTAATATGTCTGTGCTCCAAAATCTCCATATAGGTGTTCAGTTTGGTTGAGAGCTGATGACTGTGAAGCCTCTGCCGGTGTTGTGTTTCTCAACCAATTATCAGGTTTTTGTCACCTGTCAATGTGTAGTATTTATATATTACCTCCGAGGTGATAAGATTCATATAGCTGTGATTAGGTTGGAGTTAAATAAAGCATTCAACTGGGCTGCAAGCATTTTAGTTTATAGGCATACAGGCAGTTTTACAACAACAAGGATGTTCTCTGTCCTTTATTGTATTTCAGAATATTGGAAAACTCTGTTTTAATTAAATTTGGTGGAAAGTTTTGTTGTGGGTTAAGGTTTTAGTGCGGCTCAAGCACTGGATACAGATCCAGGAATGTTTGTAAATTGTTTCTTTACAAAGACATTCAGATTGCTTTTATTACAGATATGTCGTCTTTATTATTAATATTTTTTTTTGTTATTTTACAAATATTTTTGCACAGATGATTTTACCTTTCTGGATCTCTGATAGTTACTTTTCCAAGTGAAATCTCAAATACTGATTGTATTGCATATTTTCATTTCACAATATGCACGTGTTTCTCAAATATGAAAAGAAACACATTCCTGACGCCGCTGTGGGTCACAACGCGAATGTGAGTGATTTAAATTCCTCAGGAAAGTTCCCAAAGCGTGATTTATATCCCATTATTGCTTCAAAATGGGTTTAAAGATTTTTGCTGTAGTTCAATCAATTTTCTTTATTCGGCTTTCATAACAGAAAGGTATGATTTTAGTTCAGAATTAAAGGTCAAGCAATGCAATTCATTTTTCAGAATCTACCGAAGCTTATTTCATCTCCTCCCATACAGATGGAAATGTAATAAATCACTCTATGTATGTTGTTTTTTTCTCTTTCTCTCCCCGCAGGAGCTGGTGGTTGGTCTCCTCTCACCTCGGACAGGTATCAGTGGTTGGAGGTCAGCCTGGGTGAGCGCACCAAGATCACTGCTGTCGCTACTCAGGGCCGCTATGGCAGCTCTGATTGGCTGACATCGTACCTGCTGATGTTCAGCGACACGGGACACAACTGGAAACAGTACAGACAGGAGGACAGTATAGGGGTGAGTCCATACTGCAGTAAATAGTATTTAGTTGTGTATCACATTGCATATGTGTAAAAGTTCTATATCACTTATTTCCATCTCTTCAAACAAGTGACTCATTTTCTATGGCTCCACTTTTGTTCTTAGGCCTCGTATAGACTCCTCAGGGATCAATAAACATCATATTTTGCTTTATGTAATTCATATGAGGTGATGGAGTGTTTAGCAGCATGGTTCCATCTATCCTGCACAGATAAACTCTGTCATCATGAGTTTATCTCTTCATTTATAATGGATGAACCAGCGTTGAGGCTCTGCTGACTCTGCAGACGTGTGAAGCTGCAGATCACAAACAGAGAGGCAGTCAAGTGGCACGGTGTTGATTTTTTGGCTGTTACTCTGTGTCACTTTTGTCTCTCCCTTTCTCTCTTTTTGACGTTTTATTAAAGAAGGAGTCAACATGTTGTTTTTATTTTATTTTTTTCCAAATGTTAAATAACAGGATTGGATACAAAGTGACACAGACTGTCTTAGATAACAGTTTATCTTTCTCTATCGGTTGGGTGGTGCCAATATTTCTAAAGGAAAACTCCTCTTGTAGTTATTAAATTCTTATTATAAAGAAATATATTGAAAGAATTGCCTATACATACACTGTATGATACACTTGAAACCCATACAGGATGTTATTTTATATTAACAAAGATATTTCAAAATATATACAGGATTTGTAATTCATTATAAAATAACAGAAATGTAACACAGTATATGTTCAAATGCCCGTAAATGTACAGCAGCCTTAAAGGACCAGTGTGTAGGACTTAGTGGCATCTAGCGGTGAAGCTGGAGATTGCTACCAACTGAATACCACTCGCCTTGCAAGCATTTAGGAGAAATTTCGGGGGAAAAAAGCAAGCCTCCGCAGAAGATATAAATTGCTCATTCTAATGTAATGAAAACACAACAACTCTTATTTTTTCAGTCAATTAAACACTAATGAAAACATAGATATGAATATTATATTTCATTTCTGCTAACAAATTCTCTTTATTGTTTCACACTGGACCTTTAAATTCATTCTATTTTCACACGTGTTCACATCTACTACTGTATGTGTATTGTGTTTGCTTTGCACATTCATGGTCAGCTTTATTTGAGGACACAGTCTCTTACAGAAGCAGTTCATAGAGCTCTACAAATTCTAACCTGGAGAACATGCATTGCCACACTTTGAGTACGTTACAGGTTGACACACGAAGAAATGAAAGTAACATCCAACCAGTAAGATGCATAGACTTGCCTGTTTTCCCAGTGAAAAGAATCCAGTTAGAATCTCTTTCCCAATCTCAGTTTTCTAACTAATGAGTGTTAACATGAGCAGATTATCAGACCAATGTCTTTACTTCCACCTGAATATAATGTTGGCTAATGGTGTTTCTACATTAGTTCATTTAGCACTTTTTCCACCGTCGATCATGAGCAGCAACATGGCAGAAAAATGTCACAACATAGCCATGAAGTGGAAAAGCTCAGCTGGTCTCGGTAGAACTGATTAATGAAGAAATCAGTCAGATGGACAGCAGAGGCAGTGAGGCGTCACCTCCCACCTCCTGGTAGACACAGCACTCCCCTTCAGTGTTTTTCTGTCGCACAAGTGTCGTGTAGCACTTGTATTTGTCTCACTGTGGTGATGGTACATGGTTCAGTATACTGTACAGCCACAGGAATACTAAGTAGTTTTCATCTTGTTTGTGTAGAAAGCAAACACAGTGATGAGTCCTCCGCTGCTCCACCTGCACACATCTAGTGAGCCTTACACCCGATCAAATAGTGCAACAAATATGGAAAAAAAAGTGTTATATTTTCCTACTACTGGCTTGGACATACCAAGAGTAAAAGCACATTAGTTACTGTGGCGCAGAGAGGAAGCTTTTGATTAGAAGTAGAGCCGAGGCAATTTCCTCATATGGAGGGAATCCAGCTAATCTCAGCACTGAGGATCTTCTCTGAGAGAGCATTACAGCTTAAAAACAGGCTGATCTGACACTCTACATAAACTGAGCGCAGTCACATTTCAAAGTGTCTCTCAACTCCTGTGCATTAGTCGGTCGAGCTTACAGAGTCTGTCAGAGGAGAAATTTGATGGCAGGACTGGCTGTTGGATCAACGTCTACAGGGGTTCTGCTCTTTAGCTGCGAGGCCTGAAGACCAGCAGAGGAAATATACTGTTTTCTCTTTTCATCCTTTCTCTCTTTTTTTTCTCTTCCCTCAGCAGCCTGTGGGTGCTTGAAAATATAGCAATCCATCTTTCCTTTATTGTCTCCCTCCTTTTTATCGGTTTGTTTCCTCCTGCCCGGAGGGGTGGGAAATGAGGACACGAGTGGTACTCTTTTTCACTTTTCCCTGTTCTTCTCAAATTTCCTCTCTAGCTTTATTTCCTCTTCTCGTTTTCTGCTGCTTATCTGCCTCTTACTTTCACCCTGTGATTTTCTCTCCTTTCATTTGGTCACTCTGTAATTTCCCTTTTGATACTCTTTTCTGTATCGTCTTCCTCGTCTCTTTATTCCTTTCTGCTATTCTGTCCTTCACATTCACAGTTAATCTCCACCATGTCTATTTCACTCAAAGGCTGCTGGCTGGTGAAGAACTCACATCAACTGTCTAGAAGTAAACGAGATTCGGTACATTCTTCAGTGTCATTTGTTAAGTTGAAGGCCCTGCTGGTTGGTGCCTTACATCTTTCTTTCTGATTCGAGATTGCACTTAAAATGACCTATATTTATGTCTTCTTGACAAGGACCTCTTGTGGACATGTGAGTTCTGACTATTTGTCTGGAGAAGGTGGAAGTAGTGTGACATTGTTATAACACCACAAGATCTCTTATGGAGCTTCACCAACAATTAGATCACATGGTACAAAATATAAATACTCTGCCTAAGGTGCACTGGATTTAAGATAGTTAAAAAACATTTATCTCTACGGCATCAGTCACAGGATTCTGGGAGTGTAATAACAGATATCGTCTGTTCACCTTCCTGTGCCGTTGCATTACTGTTTGACTCCTGATTTGAGTCACTGGCAACGTCTCTCCTCTTGGCTGTTGAATAGAAACACAAGAGTTGTAACTTTTTTCTTTTCATACTATCCTCTAAGGCTCCGGAGCAGCTGAGAAATGAGTGGCGAGTTTCGTTACTTGCAACAAGCTCTCTTAATTTTAACAAACAAAATAAACTTACAAATGTCAACTCCTATTTACCTTGTTTAACAGAAAAATACAGCGTTAAAAGTTCTGAAGTTTGTTTTACGGAGCTGTAGTTCTTTGTATGTGTGTATATTTAGCCTGCTTTTTGTTCATATGGACATTTGCCGGATGAAGACTTTGTATTCTGAAACACTGCATCATCAAGTTTTTGGGAGCCTGCAAAATTCATTCATTCAGATTTCTTTTCATTTTTCTCTGTATGCTGCACTTGTCCTGTATCTGTACAGCATCCACCTGCTTTCCCACTGACTCTCCCTAATCATAACTAAACAGTTTCAGTCGCCTAAACCAAAGAAAACCTTTTTTTACCAAATTAACAAAGGTTAAATTAATTAATAATTTTGTACATTGTCATGGTTTTTAAGGTGCTATTAATGTCACCCTGTCAATATTGTGGGGAAATTACAATTCTCTAATACTGTTTTTCTGCCTCCGCTCCATTGAGCTTCATGTGACACTATAGATCTTAGATTTACGTGAATGTAAGATATCTGAACACGTTGTAAATCACCAGATGAATTCTTGTAATCATGCACTTCAGCAAACAGGTAGCTAGCCTGGAGGACAGAGACACTTACATTCAGCTGTTGGAAATATTCCCATTACTTTGATTTTAACAACCAAAATTGGATTTTAAGTGTGGACAGTAGGCTACAAGCAACAAATAACTAATAAAGCTTGTGGTTTATATGTGGTGGATGAAATATTTGACTCTTCGACTTCCAGACAGATCCATGGGGAAATACCAGTCACAGTCTATCTAGCAAATTATTCTTGCCTATGACTCTAAGTAATAGAAGTTGTGCTTTTCATGTAGCCTGTGGGTTTTAGGAATTCAGAGTTTACCAGGCGATTACCCTGACCGTCACTCACAGGCACCATGCAAAGTCTGAATTTTAGGAAGAAAGGATGTGTAAAGGCAGTGTAACTAATTACTGTTGGGCAGAAAGTAATGAGTAAAGTAATAACATTACTATAAAATAGTTAGTAATGAGTAACAACCTCAACACCGAGGATAAAAATCACCAAAAAGTGATTGCAAGGTGTCCACTCTCTCGTGGTTACAGAGGAATTAATAAGTTAATCGTGTGTCTAAGTTTTTATTCAGCAGTGGGAGAGCCAGTTAACCTGCATGTCAACTTCAAGGGAGGGATGTAATTAGGATAGATAGCCAGATGGGAGAGATGGAAAGAGATGAAAAGGGCGATCCGTCAGGCGTACAGCCCAGAGTCAGAAACAAACGGACGATCAATTTTCTGTTCATCGTCCAAATTTTGCAGAAGTACAGTACCTGCCGTTAGTGTAAAGCAGGTTAATGAGCATAATCTCTACAGAGGAAAGGTTTCTGAAGTTTCATTCTCCATCTGTTCATCACAGTATAATACCCAGCATGCTCTGCTTCCAGTAGCTGCTGCCCCTAGGAATGTAGTGTAACTCTCTCCACACACACACACACACACACACACACTCTCACACACATACACACACACACACACACCTTCTAACACTACAATATGAGAGACGCACATTTACACACTCACGTAAGGTTGTCTTTTTGTGTCTGTTCTTATACATGTATGTTGATGCTGTTCATGGGTATGATCTTGAATGACAGTAAGTGTAAGTTTCTTTCAGTTTCTATTAGTTTTCATAAAGGGCAGTATCTTTTGAGATGGATGAGATTTCAGTTTTTCATTCACTTCAGCTCATTGAAGCAGTCTTAGCATTCTCTAAAAGTTAGTAAGTTAGCAAAAATCACAACAGTTTAACACGACATCGCAACTGTATTGCACGTCTGCAAAAGGTAGTAACTCACCCAGAAGATTTCATTCATGCTTTAAAACTATGGAGTAATAACTCAAATTTGGCATTGGAAAAAAAAAAAACCTGACCTATAAAAATAAACACTGCCATTGAAACATGGAAAAAGGTTCCACTGAAAACCAGACATAAAACCTTTTTTGTATTCTGATGTGTTTTTCAGGGACAAAAGTGCTACCTGGAACCGATGCAGATACGTAATAAACCTCATTGTGTTTGTGTATTTTCAGTCTTTTCCAGGTAACAGCAATGCAGACAGCGTGGTTCAGTACAAGCTGCAGCAGCCGGCCTTCGCTCGCTTCCTCCGCCTCATTCCTCTTGCCTGGAACCCCAGCGGGAGGATCGGACTCCGACTGGAGACCTACGGATGTCCTTATTGTAAGTCTTATCATCTTTATAAGACTGACTGGAATTTGTCATCAAGCTGACAAAAAAAATGAAACTCTGGATGCTGGTGGCACTGGTTTTATCTAAATGATCCAAATGTTTGTTTACAGCCCTCCTGGGAAATTTAGTTTGCATAGATAATTTGAAATGCAAGTCAAATAACTACAAGTGAGTAATCAGAAAAGAGAATCAGCATCTCAGCAATGAATATAAAACACGTTTCATTTGCTTCAAAAGAAAATAAACATTACATTATCGCACCAGTTTCATTTTCTGTGATTACCAACAAATACAAAGCACGCTTAACGCTCGCTGGCAGCCTTTTCTTCCATATTTCACAATTACATACACTCTCACCCTTGTTATTAACGGTGAAAACAACACGTGTCGCTTAAAACTTATTGTGTTAACAGCTTCCTTTGTTCCTCTTTAATTTCTCAGCTCACAGCGTATTGACAGTATCGGCCCTGCCATCAACACAGTGAACTAAATAAACATCACATTGTGTTTTTCATATTTTCTCTTTTTTCACCCCATTCTTTGTTTTTTTAAGTACACTGCAGTTTTTCTTATAAGTAATACAAAAATAACTCCTTTCTCTTTTTGGGCAGATGAATTGATTCTGCTTTCAAAAAATAACAAACATGAACCTGTTACTGTCACTTGTTTCTTGCTTTAAAAACATGTAGTTTCATTGTCTCAGCATTGTTTGTCTTTCCTCTTAAGAGGTTAAAATGAGCATGATACATTACAAATACACATACATTATATCTGCAGTGCATATGACTCCTTCATCTTCTTCTTCCTCTTCATGACTCAGTTGAAGAGGCAGTTGTTTGTAATATTATTGTCCTGTCAGCATTAATTCCCTGCAGTGTCTTTGCACTGATTTCTGCCCCAATGGTTGTTTGTTCACCATATTGTCCCTCACAAAACAAACAACATACTCATGAATATCAAAAGAAACTCCACGCATTTACATATATGCTCAGATACACTCATCCAACAGTAAACATTTATGTGCAAATATGATTTCCATATGGACTGTCTGTCTCTGGTGTTCAGTCCACAGCTGTTTGTGTTTGTGTTGTTTTCTCCTTTTATCTGATCGGCTGCAGTCTGGAAGCTTTGAAAAAAGAAGTACTTTGTTTTGTTTGTTTTGAATGCGTATTCATGTGAAGCAAGAAATACACCGAAGGGTGACACTCAGTAAGTTTACTTGTCCCCAATACAAATAAACAGGTTTCAAAATCTTTCTTCTATCATGTACCACCATCTTAGATCTTAAATATCAAGTGATAGTCTTTTTCAGCTTTTTCCCAAATTTAAATGTACATATCATACTGTAAATAACTCCACAGCCATTCTAACTCTGTAAGGCACATTAATGCTTTGAGCTAAATGTCAGCATGCTCACTATAATAATGTTAAAATGCTGATTTTAAGAACATGCTCACCATCTTAGTTTCACATGTCAACATGCTAATGTTTTTGATAATTAGCACTGAACAATATGTACAGCTGAGGCTGATGGGAATGTCATTGACAAATGTGTTGCACAAATTCTAGGGCAGTCGTACTTGGCAGGTGAATGGCAGTCCAAGTTGTATAGACATTTCATGGTGGTGCAAGAGGAAGAATCAGGGGATCACCAAAGTCAGTTGGTTTCATCCTCTGGGGTCCATGAATGTCTGTAGAGAATTTCATGGCGATTGATCCAAGAGCTGTTGAGATATTTCAGTCTGTACCAAAGTAGTGGACTGACCAACATTGCAATGACACTAGAGTGGCTCGAATTAAGATTGTTGGAGTAAAAACAATGTATCAGTGTACGTTGTTTCACATGATGAAGCCCATTAAGCCAAAAACAATCCTGGAGCTGTATAAAAAGTGTCTTGTTGCCTGTTGAGGGTTTTTAGTTGAGTCATTCTTTGATTTGTCACACACGTAGCATCAACACATCAATACCTGCAACCCAGTACTTGAAACCTCTAAATACTCCAGACCCAGGTATACAGGGGAAACATAACACTCAAACCTCCCAGCATTAACTCATTATATTAGTTCACCAAGTGGAAAGATGATTTATGATAAAAAACATTTGGTGTCCCTAAAAAATGTGTTTACTGTCCCCTCTGGAAGAAGATGGATTATGAGAAACATTTAAAAGATGGATTTTGATAAATGGCCTGTAGTGGTTTGGAAATATTCTCAAGTTATTTAAGGACACAGCAGATGCATTTGTGTAATATGTTTATATGACGGCTGGAAGAGGAGACTCTTGGTTTTCCTGGTGCTAAACTAATGTAGCATGCACAGCAGAATCCTCCTCGGAAAAACAAATGCAATATACTGAAAGGAGCTGAAATATGGTTGTTAGCAGCAAACCACATTAGCCTGTCATTAAGGCAACAGAACATTTCATGTTTTCTGTGTCTTGGCAGTTATCATTTTAATTATATTTCAGACAAAGAAAACTGAAAGAGAACATCAGGGTTTCCCCAACATTCACGGGTGTTCACACTATGAATTAAACCTATAATAACGGATAAAAATATAAAGTCAGTGATACAAAGGGAACACTTCAGACATCTCGCCACTGATTCTGACAGCCAGTATTTTTTTCTTATAGAGCTACAGATCCAATGTTAGTATGAGGATGCGAATGTAGGTCATGAATAATATTTTAATATATAATTTGTGCAGTTTTTGTGCCAAATTTAAGTTTTAAGGTCAGTGAACATGGGTGGTCTTTTTTCACTTCCCATCTAAAATATTGGGTTCCACGTACTTTGTCTGGTCCCTTAGAAAACTGAGGTTCAGTCACTTGTGAGTTTAATAGTTTAAGCTTCTATAATCTACATTTTTAGATTAAGAATGACAGATAACTGCTTGTATGTCTCCTTATTGCTGGAGATCATTTCAGCATCTTTCAGCTCATTGCTCACATTTTCTGGCACACAACATGTCATTTACTATCAAGTCTCTCTCATCTGCGTCATTTCAGATAAACTCACTGTACACTACATGCTCAGCACTAAATGGTAGACAGACGCAGTTTGCAACTAGCTTAAGAGCCAGGTAGTTCGCTCAGGAGTTGGTGGAGACCAAAATAGAGTTAATAGTGCGTGAATACTGGACATACATTCATCATGTGGCCAAAAAACATGACTCCAAATGAATTATAATGTTAACTCAGTATCTGCTGGATGTGTAATTAGGCAACTGTTTGTGCTCGACATCATTTATAAGGTGATAGTATGTCAATGTTGGGTCTACAGCTTGTTTCTACTGCCCTCAAGTGATTAATGCAGGTTTTAATTAAGAGTCTGTTCATCACAAGACTAAAAGGACATTATACACAGAATTAAAACCAGTGAGAGGTTTGGAACTTGTCAGTTGCTGGACTGAACAATAAGTTAATGAACGTCCAATTAATGTACCTTCCAGATGACGTTTCCCTGACCTGTGACACAGTGCAGGGCAGAAAAGTCCCATTATTGTAAGTTATGAGCCATAAACCAGCACCAAGCTATTCTTTGGACACATAAAAGGGAAATTATAATCAGATGAAACATAACATTCTAGGATAATATGTAATCTATATCTATATTGTATATAGATATATATAGTGGTAGAGTGGACTTGTTTTCAGCTTTACACACTGCTTTGGAGCTTCATCCTACTGCTCTGTAATCAGCAGGAAATACACTGTACAATCCAATAAGAGCATTACTGCAAACAAAGAGTTTGTGCAATTGTGTGTGAGTCTTGGCGTTGGGAAGTCAAACGCTTGCCAAGTTCATTAAAAAACGTTCAGTCAGAGAAATTAGTTATACGGTTGCTGCTCTTTTTAAACAATTCAGTACTCGCAGACCATTCTTGACACCGTACACACTCAGCACACACTGTTTACTCCACCTCACTGCACCTCACCTTACTTCACCTCACCTCACCTCACCTCACCTCACCCCTGCCCAAATCCCCAGCGAGCGAGCAAGACACTAAGGTGAAATTATTGATGAAAAGTCATAAACAGAATACAGATTCAGTCCTCGCTGTCTGCCGCACTAGCCCAATATCACAGCAACAGGCAGCCTTTCTGTCCAGATGTAGGTGATTTTGTAAGGGACATTATTTAAGGACCTTGAACGTTATAATCTCTATCATATTTGAGAAAAACACTCTCACTCTGACACACATTTATCTGTTGTTGACTTGAATGCTCTCAATACTACAGTTTGTTCCTCCACACTCAAAGACAATGTAAAAATAACAAAGATTGTGGTCAAATGGTCAAGGGGAATATGATCATTGTTACCCTGTTGGTTTTAGTTAATGCTCTGTTTTGGATGTTTCACTGTTATTGGATCATAAAGTCTGGACTCCTCTATCTCCATTTTGTCTTTCAGCCTCTGATGTTGTGAGTTTGGACGACGGCAGCAGCAGTCTGGTGTACAGGTTGAGTCCCGGGCCGAGGCGGTCGTCCAGAGATGTCGTCTCTCTGAAGTTTAAAACCCTGAGGAATTCTGGGACACTGCTGCACGCGGAGGGAGAGGAAGGACTCAGCCTGAGTCTGGAGTTAGAGAGAGGAAAGCTGCAGCTGCTGCTCAAACAAGGTACATCACACCAGATACTGTACATACTCACATCCACTGACAGAAACTGAGAGATACTGGCATCCTCTCATACGCCCAATACAGTATAGTAGAGAAGAAGTCAAAATGGAGCACCCCAGAAGTTCATCTGGTAGAGCTTGCATGCGTGAGTTGTGGCCCTCCTCCTCTTTCCCCCCACATTTCCTGTCTATCTTCGGCTTTTTCCAAATAAAAGACATGAAAACATTAAAATACTAGCTTTGTTTGACAGAAGATAAGTTAATTGTAATTAAAACCCTCTTTTTTATTCTGACGAAAGATAATTCACTTTTTATTAAGATAATAAGTAAAGCGTACAATAAAGAGACACAGCAACAGGCTCTACAAGTATGCCAAAATTAGAAGCAAATCAATGAGAATAGGAAAAACATTTGTCTTTATCAAAATGGATAATCAAGAGATGCATATGCAAGATATGTTTCATATTATTAGGCAATCAGAGCAATATATCTATATAGATAAAATCTTCAAAAATGTCTCATAACATAGTTTTATGTTTATGGACCTTTCGGAAGACAAAGTACTTCAGAGTACTCGTGAAAAATAGAAATCATTAAAAACAGAAGTTTCTCTCTGCTCTGTGGAAAGGAACATGACATTTCCATCTGCCCCACCCAGCAGGTATTTAGTACTCACTCTAATATTTACTCTACTTCTACCTGAATCCAATAAAAAAAACCTTCATCTGAAACCATTTGACGGACACATTTTGTTCTTTATGGTTGTACTGGTACAGAACATCTGTGTGAAGTGGAGGACAATATAAACTCTCTGAAATAACTTTAGATTGGTTGTGGTTGGGTGAGATGGACGACACGCACGCTGCCGCCTGATTGGTTTAAATCTTGTCTCATGCTCTGCTGCTGCATCTCTGTGTTGTTACAGCCATGATGGATGGTCCCCATTCACTGTAGCATGTGTTAGGGCCGGAGTGTGTGTTTGTGTGTGTGTGTGTGTGTGTGTGAACAAGCAGGGTTAAACCAGAGGTTGTCAGGCTGCCATGCTGAATCATCACCATATGGTTCACCTCTCATCAGGAACCCCATCTGGCTGCTGAAATATTCCTATCCATCCATCCATCCATCCCTCTATCGTTGTGCCCTCTTTCTAGTTCACATCTCCCAAAAGTTTTCCCCACATCCCCTCCTCTTTCTTTTCATCTTTTATCCTTCTGTCCACCTCTCTGGTATATACAGTATGTCTCACAGATTACTCTGACCTCCCTCTACCCATTCCTCCTTCCTTCATCAATTCTTCTTTTTATCCATCTGTCTCTTCTCCTCCATCTCCTCTCACAGAATGTAAACTTGTGAAATTACCGCACATTTCAAGACTGGATGATAGCACATCCACATTTTCAGACAACCATGTCCCATTAAACACAGAGTGCACTTAAAAGGAACTGTGTCACTTTTATAAAAAACCCAGACATGTCATGAACGTCTGTATGAACGAGTGGATCACCTTGAAAAACTGTCTCCTTCTGCAGACAGACGTTTCACCTGAAGAAAAACAGTTGCACTGCAACACTTAAATCACCTGCGATTTAGGTGAGGACGGTTCCTCTTTAAACAGATTAAAAAAATAAATAGACTGCAGCTCAGTGAGAGGAAATTAAAGCCATTGAAATGATCGAAGAGACACTGAAGGGCGTTCTGCTTCTGCTGCGACGGGCCAACACTCAAAACAACAAACAGCCTCTTGTGATGCATTTATGGTGAAACAGCTTAGTCAAGGTTAGGATCAGCACCCTAGAGGGGACTTTAACATGTTTTCTCCACTGGAAGGCCACCATAGAGGACACTTTATCATTTTATCTACCCCAGTGGCATCCAAGAGGGCACTTTTGCTGAATTTAGACCGTTAATATAATTATCGATATATATCGTGCATCCCTAGTGGTTTGTCTGGATTTGTCTCAAAAGATCTCCCATTTGATTTTTTTAGTTGTGCACTCTTCTTTTTCAACACCCACCCACACACACACACACACACACACACACACACACACACACACCCTTTTGATAGTCCTCACTAACCATCTTTTCTGTTTTTCCTTCCATTGTTATGTGTCTCTATGTCTTTTGCATTTGCCGACACAACTCTTTGCCTATTTCTCCTTTTCCAACTTTTCACCCCCTTCACCTTCTTTTTTTTTTCCTTTTTACAGATTGTGTAATTTAGGTCATCTGCTGTGCGCATTGACCCAAAGCCCATGCATGGTCCGCTCTGTTCTGTTAACACATCCAGGTCTGACCCCCCTGGAGCAGATGCATTTCGCTTTATGAGGCAACTCTGAGTAACAGCCCTGCACAGAAACCACATCTCTGTCTGGAATAACAAAGGAAAACCAAACAATGATATTAAACAGCCATGTGATTGGAAGAAAATTACACTACAACAGTGGTTCTCATTTGTACACCATAACTTTTAAAGTGGCATGCTTATGTTAGGGTTACATCAAGTAGTGGTTTTAAACATTGCACCATTGGTGAATGAAAAGTTGGCGGGTAGATGTGGTGAAGATATCACAGAAGGCAAGACAAATAGGCACATTTACTCAGAACCTAATGCAGCTTTGTGTTACTGAAGTTAGTCCATTTTGAACATGAATGCCTCAAGAGCTTCAATGCTTAAAGAAAACTGTTTGCTGATTGATTACTTACATTCCACGCGGTGAATCAATGTTGACATAGCCACTAAGTAGCACACATTTCACAAGCCGCAATCACCTATTTTGGTGCACAGCAGGATAATAATCAGTGGACACTGTGTTGGTCGATAAACTAAGAGATCCTGCAACACACAATTATAGTACTTTGCAGTACCAATTTAAAATACTGATTTAAAAAATGCTGAGTTAAAGCTTCTAGAGAAACTAGGTACTTGGTGGCTGATGCAGGTTGTGACTTCCCTGTGACATTTTTGGCTTTACAGGGGAAGAATAAGCAGGTTGTGTAATGAACACCATATATGTCTGACACAGAAGAAGATACTGTAACTACTGCGAGTGGGACTGCCATCGCTCTGTCATCCTCTTTGTACAGTTTAGCTTATGGTGCAGAATTGACTCTACATTTAAACAATATAGGAAAGTGGATGATGGTATCTTAAAAACTGTGCCACTTCATCTTCCTTACATAGTGGAAGAAAACTTCTGAGGCAGCAAAAATCCTTTAAACCAGCTCCTGACTCACAGAGCATCTGATTATGTGACAGACATTGTGCTTTATGAGAGTGTATTGCTGAAATAATTACACCCGCCTGTTTTCTGATAAGAGCTGTCGGTGCCTTTCTTCATAATCAGATTTGGAGCAGCTAATAGAATAGCATACAAGATACGATGAGGTGATACTGGCTCGGGGACACGTGTAGAATGATAAAGTAAGACAGAGTTCAACATGTTGAGACAAGCACATCCAGTCTGATCCCCCCTGACATGAGGGAACGATGCTGCAGTCAGTAGCAGTGCACACTGGTATTTAGACTTTATCCAAAGCGTTTTCCGATTGCTCGCTTGTACCAGAGTTACTGTATTTGTTCACCATAGCTTTGGTTTTTATTTTGTTTTCAGTTCAGTTAAGTTTCCAAAATGGCTTTTCTGGTTTTAATGCATCTTGATCATCTCTATTTTACTAGTCATGTAGACATCCCAGTCTCAGTAAACAATTGCACCAATGTCTCATCATGCTTGTTGTGCTGATAAATTTGACCAACTCGACTTTTCTCTTTATTTTTATTTTAGTTTAATTAGTTTTATGCACAATATCACTTCAGTTAGTTTTAATCTTTTTCTCAAGACAACTTTTTATTTTAAAAATAAGTGTTTTTTCACACCTTGGTTTTTAGTTGAGTTTCACCTCTTATATACTTGACCTGTAAAACCAAACCAATACAACCATAGCCTGCGTCTGTGGACGACTACAGTTCCACCAGCAGTTTAGTGTCTTCGTCATGGGCACATGAGCTAAAAGTCGAATTGAATCCAATTTTTATTCATAAATAAAGCAGTTTGTGATCACGATAAAGAAAGCTAATATCACAAAGAGGTGACTGATAGCGTTCAGGAGGAGGAGATGTCATTTTGGAGTTTCTCCCTTTACTTCCAACATCCAGGAAAAAAACCTGCTTCTTATTCACGAAATGTCAAACGTTTTTGAGACCCAGTTCTTTAATGTACTGTATTTAAAATAAGCCATACAGCTGCAGAATCATTCTTCATTTTATATCCATAGCACCTAGTTTAATTAGTTCACAAGCATAGAGGGGTTTTTCAAGAGGCACCAAGTCACGTCATTATCACCAAAGTTCCCATAGTTTGCTGATTAGTCCTTATAAGATATCGTCTGGTACTTTGAGCCTGAAGTTAAGTTATCTGCGACTTTAATTGGCTCATTTGGTCACAAAAGAATTTGTGAACAGCATTATTACATTTGTGGCCTCTGTCTGAAGCATCAGAAATAATTTACATTTTAATAAGACAGACTGCTAATTAGAGCACATAATGTCTAGTGAAGTGGTTGTATTTGACAATTCAAAATGAAACGTTTGTCACGATAGCGACATCTCAATCAAAATCAAATTTGAGCTGTTGAAAAAGCTAATTAGCCTGAATTAATCTGAATAATATGCATGTGAAGTTATAGAAGTAGGTTTTCAAAGCTTAAAATTGCAGTATTTAAGTTTTTCTGGAGCTGAAAAATAGTAGATAAGTAGAATATAGTAGACTGACCGTCAAATATATACAGTATATGTTTCTGGAAGATGTATTGTAATATCTTTGATGACATGAAGCGGTGTCTTGTAATCCCATGTGGGATGGACCAAATGTTTGGCCATGGCATGAGAATAAAATTAACTAACTCACTCATTTATTTACTATATCTAACAAAGGTCAGTGATGACGAAAAGGCCTGATAATCTTCTCCCACTCTAATGCTACTAGATTGAAAGACATAATAGAAAAGGAAACAGATGAAGAGAAGGTGAAGATGGTTTTATATATCAATATCAGTAGAGTGATTATCTATTTATTTGCCCCCCGATCCATCATACTGATTCCTGTTTTCTCTTTCCAGTCATTCACATAGTAATCAAATCACCCATCCAATGCAACACTCCATCATACGGTCGTCCTCCTCTCTTCTCTACCTCCTACAACATAATAATTGTTCCATTAATCAATGCCATTAAATACGTCTGATTGGTTTTAAGTCTTGCCATCGTTCCTCTCATATTGATTTCACTGTCTCTTTTCCTCTCCTCCAGACTATAATCAAATAACTCATCAGAGTAACTGTGTTGACAGGTTGAGGTCCACATCCTAATGTTGTCATTCTGGATGAAGTTGTTTTTTTCTCATCCGAGCTGCAGTCAAATATATCGTCTCACAAAATAGGCTGAAATATCAAAACTACATTTGTCCATCATCTTCCAAATCGTCTCTGTTTCTCTCTTTGAAGTTGGACTTGTCTCTCCCTAAAGAATATCTAATACATTTTTAATGGCCGACTGTATTCAGCTTTTTCTACAGTTCCTTCTCTCAGCAGAAATACAAAGTTTCTCTTCCAGTACTTTGGGGGAATGGATCCACTTATTTAGACCGGTCGGTGCTCATCTATCATTAATGATGTCTCGCTTTGTTTCCTCTGCAGTGTTTCAAGTTAGGCATTATCACATATTTGGCTTCAGCTTCTCAGCGCAAGTATGCAGATATCCTGTAGTCCCTAATGAGCTAAGAGAGGGTGACCTCAGTGTGCCCCTCTCTGTGGGGTACTGAGAAAAGTGAAATATCTCGACACAGTATGGAGGCTGGCGTGTTGTAGCTGTCATAGGATGTTCGTTCCCTCGACAGCAGGTCAGATTGCCAGAAAGACGCAGACTTACGGGTCAGATAATGAGAAGACAACAAACTAATGGGTCACATAACAAACGACAGACTGTCAGGTCGGATAACTAAAGATAGAAAAGGAGAAAACAGATAAGCAGATTACCTAACTCTAAATAAAATAGATTACCTGCTGGTATGCCTAATAGAAGCAAACCTTCATATTAAATAACCAGAATAACAGACTTAATAACACTGAATAAAACAACTTCAGGGAAACCAATGAAGTTACATTTTATCTTGTCTAAGGTTTTCTTCTTATTTAATGTGGAGTTCAGACTTTGCAAATTAAACAGCGGTGATGTGTTGATTAAAAGACTGTCTCTGTAATTTCTATTCCTCACTATGTGATTAGTCTTTAATAACGGCCTATTTGTCTGCGTTATCCTCTCCCGCCTCCCATTCCCTCTTTGCCATCCCTCCATCCCCTTGATCATCCACTGATGTCTGTAACTTTTCTTCATCTTCTTTGTCACCTCCTTCTCCCTCCTCCTCCTCTCTTACCCCCTTTGTTCCTGGTCTTATTTCCCACCCTTCTTTTCCTCCTCCTCTATCTGTTCTCTTCCAGGTTCATCCTCTGAACCCCGGCGTGTCGCTTCTCTCGGCAGCCTGTTAGATGATCAGCATTGGCACTATATAGCGGTGGAGCGGCACAGCTCTCACCTCAACCTCACTGTGGACAAACACACAGAGAGGGTTCAAATCCCTGCAGAGTTCAGCCACTGGGACATGGAGCAGGTGGGAGTGACACAGAAACATACTGTAATTACACATGCATATGCATTTACATAGAAAATATATATAATTTTTGCCATAATGTGTGTGTTTTTATCCACATACAGCTGACTGTAGGGGCAGCCCAGAGTCTCGGTTCTCAGAAACCAGCCATCTCCAGGAGGAACTTTCACGGCTGCCTTGAAAACCTGTTGTACAACGACCTCAACCTGATAGAACTAGCTAAAGACAAAGACCACCAGGTTACAGTAGTGGTAAGTACATTTTACAATGAACATCCTGTTACTTACCAATGGTTGTAAGTAGCTAAACACACTACCCTGCCAGCACCATACAGCACACAGACAATATTAGCAACTAACTAGTGAAGAGAATGTAACATCTAGCAGCTGAAGAGACAGATATTTCCCATCATAAGTTGGTGGAGACCAAACCAGAGCTAAAGTATGAGTCAATGTTAGACTTAGATTATTCAGTTGACTGCTCTGTGTTTGTAGGTGTGTAAATAGGCCGACAATTTAATAAAAGGATAGTATGTCAGGGTTGTGTATCTGTTGGAGTTATAGTTATTCTGCCTCCTAATGGCTAAAAACTGATAAATGCAGCTTTAACTGGACTGAAAGCAAATAAAGTGTAGTGAGCTTTCTAAATAATTTATTGCATTTTATCGTACACTGTGGATATACTGTAGCACTCATAGCCATACCCACCTCCAGTCCAATAATGGAGTGAAACCCTGTAGACAGCTAACACTTTATTCACAGCAAAACATATCTGAAGGACCATTTGCATTAGGTTTCATTTGTCCAATTCACTTGTTACTTTCAGGCTTTACCCTTCCTTCTGTCCTCCACAGAAATGCTCTTATTTAAACTTTCCTTTGTGGTGAAACGTGTTATTCTTACTTGCCAATGTTTTGTTTTCACTTGGTTTATATACTTGTTAGGAGTGAATATGTCAGAGCCTAAATGGAAAAGCTCATAGCTGTACATACTCATCATCTTCAGATAAATAACAGTATTGATCAGTTCAAAGAAAAGTAATTAGCTCAAAAGGGGAGAAACATGGGAGATACTAGCCCACATATCTTTTGTGGTACCACACAGAATTGTTTTCTTATTCCTCCAGTGTGATGATGACAGATCACGTAAATCATCTGGGGAAAAGCAAAGAGCTTTGATGTCCTCCCTCCTCAAACTCTCTGTGCTCTGAGCTTTTATATCTGAGAAAGAATACAGCATCAATAGCTGGAGCTGCGCCACCTAAAAATTAAATCTGCAGGCTAAATTTGGCCCACCACAAACTTCTTTTTGGCCCGCCAAAAGCTGCTAAAACATTCTGCTTGGTGTTATTTGCGAACTGCTCATTACAAGATGTGCTAACAAACACCACGAGGACACAATATTCCACTGAAGCTTCTCCAGTGCTAACCCATCCTTCACATGCATAAACAACTACAGGTATATTAGGGCTGTGTATGTCTACATGCAGGTATGTTGACATCCTTAGAGCACTACAGGGAAATCATTTGGATGCTGTTGCTGCTGCTAATGAGCTGCTAGCTGGTTAATGAAGCTGACGAGGTCTTAACGAGGACAGTGAGTGATGAGAGGACAGAGCAGAGTAGACTGGTTAGACTTTCAGTAACACTTCCGTGTCTTTTCCATTTGGACCTTTTAGATGTTTCTATAATGACAATGAGTGGACCAAACTCAGTGGAGGGCGACTCTGAACCATTTCTAATAAAAGTGTTCTCATTACAGTAAAGGAATAGAGAAAGAGAGAGAGATTGACATGCATGGCTGAAGATCTAATAGAGGCTGTTTTACAAGAGTTCTGTAGCTCTCGTGGTAATAGAGTATTAACAAAGTTATAGTCCATTTTAATATAGAGACCACTTTTGGGCATTCTTAAAGGCATGATAACAAAATGAAGCAGAGCCGTCAATGATGTGTGTGAGGGGGATTTTGGGTGTGAATGTGTGTTCGTGAATGGCTTTTGGGGGATTTTATAGCTCACTTTCTACTTTATATTTTGCAGTGGTGCTGCATCCTCCACAATGTACTTCCATATATCACTTTAACAGCTCTACAAAGGGCTTTTAGATGTCATCTGTGTTTCCGGAGCATTATAAAGATAGCAGACTGATATTCCCAGCAGAGAGCCAGGACTGTAATGTATTACTACTGCTGCCTTTGCAATGGACCTGGTGCCATTACCACTACTCAAAACAACGGACCGCATCGGAAATGTCTATATAGTACTGTTCACATACATTCCCACCCCCCTCCACACCTCTAATCTGTGTGACATTGGTATTTTCAGATTGCATTCATGGCTTTTATTCTCAAGGAGACTTGCTGATGAGATCATTGTGACAGAGGTCACATCGACACGCCCTGTGCAACTGATTAATATTCATGTTTTATGTTGTTTTATCTCTCTCGTAATCAGTTTTTCTGTCCCTCCCCTCTCTCTCTCTCCACTCTGCATGTTTCTTTCTCAGGGCAATGTGACCTTCTCTTGTGCTGAGCCAGTTTCCATCGCCGTGACGTTCCCTGGCCCCCAGAGCTTCCTACAGTTGCCGGGGCCAACGGCGTCCTCCTCGGCGGGCGTGTCCGTGGGGTTTCAGTTCAGGACGTGGAACAAGGCAGGGCTTCTGCTCACCTTTGCCCTGCCTCAAGAAGGGGGCGTGGTCTGGCTGTACCTGAGTGAGGCCAGACTCCGGCTACAGATCCATAAAGCTGGCAGGACGCTGCTGGAACTCACTGCGGGTCAGTCCAACAGCCCATAGAATTCATTTCTAACCCCTTACCTCTTATTACCAATGCCTAAAAGGTATATCTTAGCCTTTATAGCTAAACACCCTACCTACCCCCTTCACCTCTCATTGATTTATGTTTAACAAGATTGAAAATCTTTTGTAATCCCATTTTTAAACTGCTACATAAATGAAATTGCATATCATATAATTATGATTATTATTGAATTATTTCCTAGGCTCTGCTCTGAATGACGGTCAGTGGCATTCAGTGGAGCTGAACTCCAGACGAGGTCGTCTGACTGTCGCTGTTGATAAAGACGAAGGTGGCGTCGCTCATGCCAGCTCCTCCATCACCGCGGGAGGTCAACTCTTCTTTGGTGGTAAGAGTGAAACGTATAAAGTCTGTGGTGAAACTGTGGAAGGCTTTAATCACCGGGCTGTTACAGTTAACACTAAATATTACACTGGACATGCCTCAATGATATTTTGAATGAATATTCATTGGATATTCAAACTGAGGATGTAGGTAGAGCACGAATCAGTATTCCAGAGTAGTTTTGTTAAACATAATTAGTGTTCGAGTTCAACTACACTCTGCTTTAGGTTGTGGTTGTTGAGCTATATTTAAATTTTGAATTTATCTCCTAATTTTAAGCTAAATGATTATATATGAATTTGATTCCTTTCATTTTATGTCTGAGTCTGGGCGATGAGATTAAATCCAGTTAATGTAACCCACCAGAATATTTTTTAATTACTTTTTCAACAATAAATTCAATTCAGACACATTTTCTGTCTTTTAAAGAAGCTGCTACATATACCTATAAACATAAAACTTCAGTTGCAGTAAACACAGAAATCATCCAGACAGTCTCTGTTTCTGTTTCACTGTGGTTTTATATGAACTTGTCCTATTTGCCCTGAAAGATGTGTATTAATATTTGAAAGTTGTTGACATTTTTATATATTGTACATTACAGTTGGTGTCGTCAATACTCACTCTCCAGTCTCCAGGCTGTTTTGTAATGAAAGTTATAAGTCTGCTTTCTCTTTTCTCTTCACCTCCTCTCATTTCTGTCTTTACCGTATCACTCCTTCCTTCCTTTATTTCTCCTCTTTCTCTTCTTCCTGTTTTCTTTCCTCTCAACCTCCTCTCCTGTCTGTTTTCTCCCCTTCTCCTTCTGTTTCATTCTCCACTGGAGAATCTCATCTCTTTTGTCCTCCCTTTGAGCAGCAATAATGCAGTCGAGGCATGTTCTTTAAGTGCCTTAGGCTTTTTGTCACCCCACACATACACACTCATTTACATTATTCCAGCCCCTTGAAACACATCCACCACAAACCACAGCTCAACTCTCTGTAGAAGACATTTGAGTAAATCATGATAGGTTCTAACAGACATTTATATCATATATAACATAACATATATAACATCTGCTGTCGTGTCTTTCTTTTCTTTCCTGTCCAGGTTGTCCCTCTGAAGAAGACAGTCAGGAATGTTTGAATCCATTCAGCATCTTTCAGGGCTGCATGCGTCTCCTCAGTGTGGAGAATCAGCCAGTGGACCTAATCATGGTGCAGCAAAGACTGCTGGGAAATTACAGCCACCTGCTGATCGACATGTGTGGCATCATTGACAGGTCAGAACCACCAAAATCCATCTCACTGGTCTACCATTGATCATTTCATCCTGTATAAGAAGGCCTGTGTAATTTCAATGTTTGGAGCCTTGATCCTTCAGAGATTATGGCAGTGGGGTACCAGAGAGTGCTGACCCCGTACTAGGCACACATTGCTCTCTGTTGCAGACCTCATTTCAAGCATTAGGGTAACTTGTGGCAGTATTTATCATCTCTTCACACCTAGTGATCAACCCTCTTCTCTTCTATACTGGGAGTGGGTCTTTGCCCATTGGAACTTCAGTCCAACGCCTTACCCACTCAGCCATTCTGGTACAGTTTGCTTTCCTACCGTACACCTAGTCAGTCCATGATGATTGAATTGTTTCAAGAAGGAATATATTATTCTTGTGTCAAGGACTAAATACCAGGAGTGGGATTTGAACCCACAAGGACTTGTGTCCATTGCATCTTAAGTGCAACACCTTAACCACTTGGCCATTCTGGTAGTTGCAACATGTTGACACATATAAAATATGCAACGATGTGATCTGTTTCAACCGTTTAAGAGCTTTGAAACACACAGCATGTTGATTTGATGAGAATCCAAACGGCTCAACTAATCAATAACATAAAGGCTCAGTACAAAAGGTCAATCTGTTAAAATTCTGATCACAAAAGAGCATGCACTGTAGGTTTTTAAACAGCTCGTTTGGTCGTAACACTCATTAGTGCTGCACAAGAAGTTAAGTAATGTGCAATATAAACTCTTTATGTCATCTTAAAATATCAGAGACTAAACTTTTGTAAAAACCCATCAACCCAAGATCTTCTTTCTCTTCATCTTTATCATACCAGCCTTGGGATTAGAACCCACACAGACAGGCGTCCATTGCATCTTAAGCGAAACACCTCAGCTACTCAGCCATCTTGGCTCAACTGATGTTTAGCACCCAACACATATTCTTTTGCTCTTTAAACAGTCAGATATCCTGGTGCACTTCACTATGAGAATAATATGTCATTACCTATTCTGTCCATGTTAGAAATATGACAACACATAATAGTATTAAATATTTGAAAATTGAAATACAATAAAGAGTTCAGAGTTAAGAGCAAAGCTGCAGTTAAAATAAGCTTCTTGTAACTCCAGACCAACAGCTGGAGTCGTGTTCTGTCAGTCAGAGGTTTCTTGCCATTTTGGGTTTTTTTCCTCTGAGCTGCCTCAATTGTTTTGTCGTCCAACTTTATTAGAGACACAACAATTGTTGAAGTGAAAGGGATTCTTTTTTTTCTCCTTTGATTTTTTGGCAGAGTAATTTTATTTGTGAGGTGAAGCGGCGTGTAGTGTTGGATCCAGAAAAGTAACAAACAACTCGCACAAAGAATAAAAAGCAGGCACAGAGTTTCCTATAAGAATGTTAGAATAATTGTTCATTGGAGTCTTGAGGTGTGAAATAACCACTGACAACCCTTTTTGTTTTATTCTGCCTGATATCTGACAAATCGTTTGAAGACCATGATGATATCAGCCACTTTAATTGCGAGTACCCATTTTAAAGCAGAAATCTTCTTATTTATTACTTTCCATTCTCTGTTACTAATGTCAGGGGTTTTCATTCTGGTATTTTACTGATCATTTAGTCATTTAAGCCTCAAATGTTTTGTTTTGAGGTGCCTTTAAGGGTTATGTCACTGACCATGCACGTTCGGCCAGGAACCTTTGCTGCATGTGATTCCCCATATCTCTCTCTATCTTTCTGTCTCCTTGCTGATTTCCTGTCATCTGCGCTATCAAGAACGGGCATAAAAATGCTGCATCTCTGCATTGAAGTACACAAAGAGTGAGATTGTATGCTCAATAGAAATACCTTACCTTAAAAAGACCACCTACCTTCCAATCTTACCTGTCAGTTTTGATGATAATAACGTTAGATTAGTATGTATAGAGCCCCTCAGAGCACATGGAGAAGAAAGAAAAATACAGTATATGACATGGGGAGAAAATAAAATAAATAATAGAAAAAAGAACTTCCGGTAAAAACTAAGGGACTCAAAGCACTTCCAGGTCATTACTTCACACGTCGTTTGGGAAACAGTGAATCCTGAGCAATAAAGAGGTTTGTAGAGTTTTAATTAGACTTTGGCCTTGATTATAAAGAAATTAAGTCAGCGCCTGGGTGTAGAGGCATGGTTGTCAAAGAAGTGAAAGAGGATCCTTCGCACAAGGGGGAAATTCTGTTGGTCACGGATAAAATTAACTATCCACCAAGTTTGACTTTGAGTACGTTTCCCATCGATAATCTGTGAATAAAATTATACAATTTGTGTGTTATGGTTCAGCAATCACTGAGGCCCAGCCCCAGAGAAACACTCCGCTCTGGTGGCATCTATTGTTTTTCCAACATCATTCTTGTCTAATTTGTGGTCTAGTAAACAGGAAATTCACCCAATTCAGCACCCCACATCACTACTTTCAAAATATTGTGAATAAAGCAGCAACGGTTTTGCCTTCTTGCCTTTTCTTCAACAAGAAACACTTATCTCAGTACGCCGTGAACCTAGTCCACTTGTTGCATAAAAGCCAATAAGGCAGCAGGGCCTTATTGTACAAAAACACACATTTATTTTCACCTCCACATATAATAGAGAGCTGCAGAAAGACATGCAAAACATGAGAGGAGCAAGAGTTCATCATTGTTGTGTGTCATTATTTCCATTTTCCATAGTCATCTCATCTCAGATCAAGGGAGTAAGTCATGTGGAGCAGAACCAATTGCCTGCTGTCTCAGTGTCACACTTAAAACACAGCGCAATTAAAGCAACAATTACTGTATAACATTTACAACCTCTCCTCTAGGCAACAACCAGCAGACACACACTCCCCCATTCTCTCTCTCTCTATATATATATATATATATAGATATATATGCACATCAGCCATCCTCGCTAGAGAAGGAGAATCTGCTCCAGTGGCTTTAATTAAATATTCCTTCCTTTTATTACGTTACTATTCAGCAGAATTCAATTCCTAGACAGATCTGAATGCTCACTGTAACAGACCAAGAGGCAAATCATGGCTCCCACTGTGCTTTCCCTCACTGTAACTCTGTAGATTATAGTCTATAGGCTCTATGGGATATGATGTTAAAAGGAAAGTGGAGTTACAGACACAGCTTCCATAGGCTTCTCGTACCACAGAGCAGGGTGTTAGTGTGTTAGTGTGTCTGTGTGCAGACCTAATAGCAGTGCAACCCTATGCAATGAGTTCAACATAGAAGCAGCCATGCATTTAATAGACTTGACCCATCAGTCTTGTAGCAGGGCTGGAACTGAATCAACACTCAGATCTAATTTACTTCAGTTCTGACCCGGGTTCACATTACAAGCAAGATGATCAAACAGTCAATCGAAGTGCATCCATTTCCTGTAGAGGTGAACAACCAGGGAAATGAGGGTAACAACAACCTTCTCTCAACCATTAAAAGCACTCCAGTTCAATTCCAATGGCAAGAAAAAACGTGTAAGCTCAAAAGTTAAACACTATTAGTCATGCAGAATGTTCTAAATGGCCCAAATAACACAGGGGACACCAAAAACCTGTTTATGTTTGTTTTTGGCTCCTAGCATTTGCTACAGAAGAAAACTCTGTCATCCAACTAAATAAATGACAGCATTTATTAAAGAAAATGCCAAACAGTAGAAATACATCATACACAGTCAATAATAGCTGCGGAACACATCAACATAGTCAGAGGTCTTAACTTCACAGAGACTGAGAGGATATAGCAACAAGCTGTAGTCACTAAGGAGTTGTACTTTACTCTGTAACATTACAGTGCTAATATCCACACAAGCATGTTCTTAATACCAGGAGTGGGATTTGAACCCACGAGGACTCACGTCCATGGCATCTTGAGTGTAGCGCCTTAACCACTCGGCCATCCTGGTGCCCTTCCTTGACCCACAGACACATAGATCGATTAATCGAATAATGAAAATACAAGGCTGCATATTCGTTGCATCTTGAGTGCAACTATGTGAGAGAATGCCCCCACTCCTATCTGTTCCAACCATGAAAGAGCTGTGAAATAAACGAGGACTTGTGTCCACACCTTAACCACCCTGTAGTGACAGTAGAAGTCAATATCTGCCCATGGTACTTTAACTTTTGTCCCGTCTCCTGTAGCTGTCAGTTAATCTGAACTTTACCTAACTTTAACCTGACGAGGTGGTTTAGTACTTGCTTCAGGAGCCGATAGAAACAACGTAGAGCCTTGAACTACAACAGTTAAGATTGTTTTTTGTATTATTATTAATTTCTTACATAATGAGCCAACATGATACCAGGAGTGGGGTTTGAACCCACGTGGGCAACTTGCCCATTGGAACTTAAGTCCAACGCCTTAACCACTCGGCCATCCTGGTACTGCTGGTGGCTATACAGTACATCCATTATGATTGAAGGGTTTGAGGAAAACATAGAAAAGAAAACATATAATTATTTTGAGAAAGAGTAGATACCAGGAGTGGGATTTGAACCCACGTGGACTTATGTCCATTGCATCTTGAGTGCAACGCCTTAACCACTCGGCCATCCTGGTGATATTAGTGTGAGTTTAGAGTTGCAAAAGAACAACAGTTTGAAGATAACTATTCAAAAGTATAATGAAATTGCTTTAAGAAGTTTGTAAAGAGCGGTTGAGTCAGCACATAAACACCAGGTGGTTTGTCACTATACTTAGTAAGTGATCACAGTTGTAGCATCATTCACACACACCTGCAGGTGATCAGGGTAAGTGTATTGTACAGAAACATCACAGAAATGAGTACAACAATCTGTTAAAAATACCAGGAGAGGGGTTTGAACCCACGTGGGCAACTTGTCCATTGGATCTTAAGTCTAATGCCTTAACCTCTCAGCCATCCTGGTACAAATCTTGTGAAGAAGAGTAAATAGAACAAGCGGGCTTTGAACCCATGACAACTTGCATCCCTTGTATCTTGAGGGCAATGTCTTAATCAGTCAACAATGAGTGCTATCAGTCAAAAGAATAACAATGTGAAGATAACCCGTTATAACCTGTTATCTGTCTAACAAGCTAATCGAGAGTATTGAAATTAAATTGTTTTAAGTAACTGCTCATCCATCCTACTAACATCCAATGCACTTAGTTGATTGATGTCTTTGGCTCCTGAGGCATTCTGGGAAATGTTGATTACTCAGGTACTCATCATTAGTTATTATTTGTGTCAACTAATGCCCCAAACGTATATAACTATTATAAATGTGCAAAGCTTAAAGTATACTTACAGTGTTTAAGGTTCAAGGTACATTTGAGGTTTCAAGTCATTTACTGTATTGCCCTCTTGAGGATGTTAAAGCACACATTTTATACTGTATGTACAGACTGTGAATAAGATTGGCTAGTAGTTGAACCACACATTTGTGCTCTAAATGCTGAACTTGCTGTCAAGGAAAGGAAATGCTTGGCTCGGGACTTGAACCCATTGCATCTTCTACCTTAACTACTCAGCCAACCTGGTGTCGCTCTTTATCACTTGCTGCTATATGGTGTCTCAAACATACCTAATGTATTTACAGTATATGTGCATTGTCACTTCACAAGTCAAATACACTAGTTTGAAATTGTGAGTCGGTTAAGTTATTAGTCAAGTCATTCATTTAATGGACTGAACCAGCAGTCATCAACGGTCTATATTTATAGACCAGATGTCGCTACTGCCAGACTGAGTACTGTATTGTACACTCGTTACAGCCCTGAAACCTTGCCACACACACACACACACACACACACACACACACACACACACACACACACACACACACACACACACACAAACACACACACACACACACAGTCAAAATATATTTTTAAAAAAAGAACCAAGCAGTGTGGTAATGTGAATTTAAAGTGAAAGCTAAGTGCTTTATCTGCAAGGCTCCAGCTCACTGTTAGATTAAAGCAGTGTAGAGATAAATGGAGGTAAAAAAAAAAATAATCACACAGTTGCAGGCTGACAGGCTGCTGAGTCAGGGCTTTTATCTAAATAAAAGGGAGGCAGCAGATTCTGTACAGTAATCTGTTTTCTCTTCAATACTCCTGGCTGGGTTCGGGCAAACACACACTCACACACTGCCACATACATTTCCATAAGGAAGCCCTTGTAAATGTATGTGACCGCGTACAGTAACATGTATTTATGAATATAAAGACATATAAAACACAACACACACGTAGCCCCAAGCTTCGTAAACACCAGGGATGTAAAACTGTGTGTGTGTGTGTGTGTGTGTGTGTGTGTGTGTGTGTGTGTGTGTGTGTGTGTGTGTGTGTGTTTGTGTCTGTGTCAAACCTCCTGGAGGTGCCAGCCGGTCTTGCAACAGATGGAAAGCAACCAGTGAGGATAAAAACAATGTTACTCATCATCTCCTGTCGGCCTCCCTGTCTGTCTTTTTCTCAGCAGAATGAGGTCACGTAACGTCTTTATGTGTCTTACCAGAGACAGAGTGCATCAGCGGCTGAGCCGTAGCTGTTTAACATATTTTCTCCCTTACCTAAAGTAGTCAAGCCATTGTTTGTTTTTTATTTGCTATATTTGGTTTGGAGCTATCAGTCTCAAAGATTTCTGTCACCATGTCCATACAGTGGAGGTGAATGGGATATTTCTTGTCTTCTATAACTCGGTGTTTTCAGCTTGTTCCCTTTTGTTGTCATCTCTAAGGCTCAGACTCACAGCGTCTGATTCTGTTGGGCATTTTAGAGTGGTTTTTTTTTATGGGTTTCTATGCAGTTGGCTGGTTTCCACTGTTGACTGCAACGGTGCCAACATTTCTACTGCCGCCTGCCACATAAGTATTTGCTTTCTAATAATAAAGCACTCACTTTTTATTGAAATAAATGACCTGATCATTAGCTTTTTAAGATTTATGTAGAGTGTCCCTCATGGGGTGGGAGTCATGTTTACACGTGTGTGTCTGACAGGTCACTGAAAAATGTGTGAGCACGTTGAAATAGAAAAATTAATGCTTGTAATTCTGAATATATTTTCTCCCATCGTTTCTCATGCATTTTCTGAAGTTTCCAAGCCTCTATACACACCCAGTATACTATAGATCATCTATATGCAGAGAAAGACAAACACAACATACAGTGCAACACACATTCATCACTGCCTCCCTCCTTCTGTTACCTTCATCCCTCGCCTCCCTCCCACACAGGACTGATGTCATGATAGTTACAGCAGTATGATATGTATCTATAAATAACACACAGAGCTTCAGTGAAGTCTCCTGGGAGCTGGATTCATTTAAAGAGCTTCTTCAAACAGTCTGGCAGCACTTTAAGAGAGCAGCTCGGTTCAATCAGAGAAGATGTGCCACTGAGGAGAAGTGAAGGGATATGTTCTATTCAGCAGAAAACTTTTTTTATATATATATATGAAAAAGAAAAATCTAAAAAGAGAGAAATCAGTGAAATAATGAAATTATTCTTTTGATCTCTCCGAGGCAAGGTGAAAGGTGTTTCGAATGAATATTCTCCAGAAGTCATATTTCCATTCAGCACGAGGAAACCTCCCACATCTTCACCTAAATAGAAAAAGCAATATTAAAAATGAAAGCCATTCTGTTCCTCCTACACTGCTATTTAGCATTATTTAGCAAGTTTATTTAAGCAAACTGATGGCCATTAAATAAATAACCTTGAAGAGCTTCGGCATAAAGGTTTTTCCCTCAATAAAAGAGGAAGCTGCATTTCATAAGAGGCCCATTTAGTTTAATGAAGTAATTTTCTCTCTTTGAAAGGTAGTGGGAGTTTGAAAGCATGGTTAAATGCTCACTACTACTTTCATTATAACCGCAGTAAGGCAAATAGCCAGGTAAACGCTTACAGCAGTGTTTATGAAACTACAAACATTACACTGTACCACCTCAGAAAATATTAGGTTCTCCAACTGCCACCATTATCTCTGACGCTGAAATACAGTAGCGTAGGCTGACTGTATAAAGTTACCCCTCTGTGTCACAGGTCACACGGGGCGGGTTTATTAATTTAATAAGGATATTATTTATTGTTGACTGTTGTTGAATCCTGAGCAGAACTGGTTCAACAGCAATCAGGGCTAATTTGGTGGAAAAGGGCTACTCTTGATCCACACTCCTCTAAGTGTTTTTGAACCATTCATTTTACCCCTGCTTACTATATTGTTTATATATCATAACTAATCATGGACATCACTTGAGGCAATTTGTCAGACATTGTGCAGCTGGAGCGGCAGAATGCTTCACACAACTTGTCTCTCACCTGTAGACCTGTAAACTTACTTGGATGTGTATAACTGGTGGAGGTTCCCCTTTAAGGATATATGCCTGGGTTACTCATTAATCTTTTAAAAAGACCTGTAGCCCAGTCTGGTCTCTGTCTGTGTTTTTATCCTGTATACGCGTGCAGTTTATCACAGGGCAAAACAATGTCTCAAGGCTAGCAGCTGTGGAACAGAGCTATTCTCTGGGGCAACAGTAGGAAGGTTTGCACCACAACTAAAAGAGCAAACACTGAAATTCTCTGTAAATCCATCAATAGGTGAAAGATTAATTTTACTGTTACAGTATATTCTTTGTCTCTTTTAGCTACTATACCTATGTGGTGTTCTAGTATCCAGATTATTCTGTGAAGCATGCAAAGGCTTTAATCAAACGTGCAACAATACCCTCACTGCTGTTGTTATACCACCTTCAAATAAAGAAACTTTACTCCCAGCATACTGTGGCTGTTTTAATACTCAACACAAATCCAATCGCTGGGAGGAACTTTTGTGATTGTGCTTTATGACAGAATCAGGTATTGTGTTTAATTGGTTTATTCAAGACTAAATGTATTCTGTTGGAAAGCCCTTGAACAAAACACAGAGCCTTCGATAATTTGATCCAGGAGAACAAATCAACCCTCATCTTAATGAACTCTTTTTAAGAATTTACTCACACCGTACCTCTCTCTCTCTCTGTCTCTCACTCTCTCTCTCTGTCTCTCACTCTCTCTCTCTCTCTGTCTCTCACTCTCTCTCTCTGTCTCTCACTCTCTCTCTCTCTCTCTCTCTGTCTCAGGTGTTCTCCCAGTCGCTGTGAACACGGCGGCCGCTGCAGTCAGTCCTGGACCGTCTTCCACTGCAACTGCTCTGACAGCGGCTACAGTGGAGCGACCTGCCGCAGCTGTAAGTCACCCGTCAGTCAAACAGCGGCACATGATGAAGAAAGGCACACACGCAGATAGTCGGGGAGAGAGTCGAGGCAGGACAGATGAAATACAAAAAAGGGATGAGACTGTGCATAATTTTAACACCGAGGCAGAGCAAACAGACAAAGATAAAACAGAGAGATTAGATGAAACATCCTGTGGTACCGACCCATTAAAACATATTAACACATTATCCCCATTAAACAGAGATAATAAAGTTCCAGTTTATTTGTTTTGCACATTATCAAAGACCCTCATACATAATACAATGATGTAAGAAACCAGAATCACAGAAAACAGTGGTTGAGACAGACACTGACCAAACAAAATTATAGTTGTGCCTGTCACTTGTTTGATTGCATGAAGAACATATAATTATAATCACTATATATAATTACTGTTTAGGGTACGATATCACTTCGATTGACAGTGCGTGTGAGAACAAAATAAGAGGGTTTCGTGATTGTTTCTGAATGTGTGCACATTTGGGATTTTTCCAATTCTTTACATTTTTGTGTATTACAGCCTATAATTTGTATTTGCAATAAAAACCCCTCACTCGAGTTAATTACTGGAATTTGCACGGCAACATCGATAAAAAGTTTGGCAGGGCAGAGAGACGAGTTAGACACAAACTATGATTATTATCACAGTTTAAAGACCAACTTCCAGGTAACTTTGGTTTGTGCTACATTAACAATACAACCTAAATTACTCAAAACTGGAATCATCACTGTAAGCTATATTGTAACTGCACACCCTTTCTTTCTTCAGTGGAGGAGGTGAAAATATTAAATGTGTCTGTATGTGAGTGTTATTATGAAAGTGAATAGATGACTAAAATGCTGAATAAATACATGAAACTGCAGCAGTGAGGTGAGCTGATAGGTGAGATTTACTGGTTCTGTGTTCTTAAATCCTCGAGACCAAAAGAGGAGAGTTTCCCACACGATTCATCTCTGGTCTCATTTTTATTGCTGATGTTTCCAACCACACTGAGGGAATGTGAGGAATAAAAGGCCTTTGGCTGCAGAGAAGAAGAGAGATAAACAGGTGAGCAGAGTGTGGGAACTTTATGGATCTGACTCGAAGGGCTCGATACTTTGACTGCAGAGGATGCACTGGTGTGTGTGTGTGTGTGAGAGACAGAGAGAGGAGGGAGGAAGACTTATGGAGATAGAGAGGAAGATGCAGGGCTGATAAAGGTCTAAAGTTTTATTTACTGAGTCTTCGTACTCCCATCAGTCATTGCTGTCCTCTTATTCTTTACTTTATGGGACGCTGCTGCCGAAATGAAACTTAAGATGATTGTCTTCAGTCTGGTTATGAGTCGGTGATTCACTGGTGATACATACGTATGAAGCACTACCCATAATCCTCCACAGTGTGTGATCTTCATTCCCTCACAGCCCCTGTGTGTGTCTGCCAGCTGATGTGTTGATGTTGATGTTGATGTGATTCATGCTGGAGCTGATCTCATTATTTTCCTTCCAGCTGTGTACGAACAGTCCTGCGAGGCGTACAAACACAACGGCAACACATCGGGACATTTTTACATCGACGTGGACGGCAGCGGACCAATCAAACCGCAGCTGGTCTACTGCAACATGACAGGTGACACACACACACACACACACACACACACACGTTCGCTCCTCCTCTTCCTCCGATCATCACTCAGCGTTTTTTATGATGAGTTGTGTAATTGTGAATGCTCCTCTCATCACGCTCTGATCCACTTTATCTTCCATCCCTCTCGTCCCACTCCTTTTCTTGTTTAATCATATAAATATGATTAATGATGGCACACTTGCTCTTCTTCTGTCTCACTGCTTCATATAATCGGCATACATGTGTAAATCTTAATCGTAATGATATTCTTTTACTCCGTTCTCTGCTTTTTTTTTTTGTTTTTGTCACTCTCTGTTTGTCTTTCTCTTAATTTCAAGCTAAAGAGAGTTAAACAAGATTGATACCACTTTCATGTTTGTTCTATAAATATGGAGCTGGCTTAGCTTAGCGTAGCATTAAGACTGCAAACATAGGGAAACAGCTAGCCTGGCTCTCTCAAAAGTTAAAAAATGCAGCTACCAGCACCTACAAAGCTCACTAACTACCATGTTGTATCTCATTTGTTTAATCTGTACAAACACTGAAATGTAAAAGTGACAAAGTCGCTAGTACAAGTACATATAATGTGTTAATTAATGAGCTTTTGGGCTAGCTGTTTCCCTCTGCTTCCAGTCTTTGTGCTAAGCTAAGCCAACCAGGTGCAGGCTGTAGCTTCATATTGAAGGTACAGATATAAGTGTGGTATCAATCTTCTGATCGAACACGTATACTTCCCAACATGGAAAATTATTCCTTAAGATCTGAGTGAGAGTACCGGAGCAGCAAACATGAGATATAAGATGGCAATTTTCCAACAAGGACTAGATGTAGATTACCTCTCTTTGCATAAATGACAAACGAGAATAGGTAATTACAAATGAATCAATAGCATTAATCAATCAGTAATCGGCAACAATAATCAGTCATTAATATCTGTCTGTCTTTCCAGAGGAGAACACGTGGATGGTGATCCAGCACAACAACACAGAGCTCACCAGACTCCAACCGTCTCCAGGTGGAAACCAGCATTTAGTCCACTTCGACTACTCCACTGAAGAGGAGCAGCTATCGGCCGCCATCAGCCAATCAGAGCACTGCGAGCAGGAACTGTCCTACCAGTGCAGCAAGTCCCGCCTCCTCAACACTCCAGGTAAAGCCAGTTAAATTTACTTTAAATAGTTTTAAATATTATATAGTTTGGAATATTATATTACATTTCAGCCAATAGATCCTCGTAAATGTTACACACTGGACCTTTAATCCGTACAAAAGCTGAAATATAAAAATGACAATTTGCTGTATAACGGTTGTTATGTGCCAAACTGTTTCTTGGCTGCAGTCTCTGCTGTTGCATGACAAAAAAAAAAAGCATTTCCCACAATTACAAATTATTCCTTTAAGCTCTCCTCTCTAACCTGAAGCCTGTTGGTAATTGGCTGGCTGCTCATTTCTTCTCTTATATGCACCTTGACTCTCGGGGGGAGTTTTCAAGTCGATTTCTTACATCTGTATCAACAATTTTAATCACGTACAAATTTTGATTTTATTTCATTCTGAGTTTGTGATTATACATTAATCATTAAAAAATCTTATCTCATCCTAATCCTTTTAATCTTTTCTTAATTTAAGGAGATTACTCTAGCACTTCATTCCCTCCCTTTTCCCTCAATACTCCTCAAGTGCACATTTAAATAAGAAAAGACTGTAAACAAGAAGATGTTCTTAATTGACTTGTTGGGTTAAATAAAAGTTAATGAAACCTTGGTTAAGCAGGCTCATTTCAGCTAGGAATCTACACATTACCTGACCAGAAAGAACAGAATCATTACGCTCTTTGCTGCAAACTTATTGGGGTTTCAAGGATTTTCTTCTCTTTCACAAATGATTCAGACAAATTGATTGTTCAGGATTAGTTTAATACCTCCTCCTTTTGGAATGAGTATTGAGTTAGATCAGTGTTTTCTTTGTTAAGTCATGTGTTTTCTTGTGGTTGTATTAACTCAGAGGAAGAGAATCACTTTGATCACCAAGTTCTATTGAATTTGTCTTGGTAGCAGTTAATGCGAGAGCTCACACGTTCATGCAACGTAATAGCCTACAAGAAAAACAGAGCATCATTCAGTGTAAAGACAAACTGCTCGAAACATCAGGGAAATATGTGTGATGATATTCAGTTTTTAGCCATTTGTCAGTTGGTACATCAACTATTTGATGGATTGCCACGAAACCTGAATCTTACAGACTTTGCTGATTCCTTCACTTTGACTCTCTAGCGCCTCCATGAGGTTGACCTTTGTGGCTTTGAGTCAAATGTCTCGACATCTATCTGATGGATTGCCATGAAATTTGGTTCAGACATTCATGTTCCCCTCAGGATGATTACGATGATATCATCATGGTTAAATGGGGTCCTGGAGACACCTTCTGTAGCAGGAACTACCACAGAAGCGGTTTTGAATACTTTGGCAGGCATTTATATGTCTGTGACATATTTTAATGCCATAGTGTCTCAAACTGGCAGAGTTTGAAGATGGGCGTGATCCAACACATGAGTACTGAGTATTCAAGCAATAATGCAGCAACGGCTACGGAGTATTCGTAGGTCGGATGTTGACGGGCGTCAGGAATGGATCATTGCAGGGTGGCCTCTTGTTTGATTTACGACCAGTACTCAGCTGTACTGTATTTTGAATACTAGCACACTAAATTAGGATGGGGAATATGGTAAAGATTATACCTGCATAAGCATGTGAGCATTGTCATTGTGAGCAGGTTAGCATGCTGATGTTAGCATTTAGCTGTGCTGTAGACTCTCAATCTTATTGTGTATTTGAGCAGAAAAAACAATCTGAAACAAATTAATCTATTTAAATGAATCAATTTAAAATTAATCGACCACAATTTGGAGAACTAAATAAACTTTTAAAGTTATTTATGAAGCATTCCTTTGATTGCAGGATTCCCATCCATACAACTATTGGTGACATGGTTTTTCAAAAGTTTCTCTCTTCTGCGAAGCTACATATGGAAAAATTATATAAGGGAGAATATTGAGTGGGGGAACTTTTTTGGGGGTGCGGGTAATAAAATGATGGATGAAAATAGTGAAAGAGGCAGAAAAAGAAGAATGGGTAGATAAATAGAAGTTCCATTATAAACTCCATGCTGCTCTCTGGGAAAATAAAGGAAGTGCTGACTCAACAGAGACCTTTCCAATCACCTTCTCTCACTCCTCTCCACCTACACACTCTCACAGTGTGAAATACATTTTTCACAGTATACTATCATCGCCCTCCATCCAAAAACAATATATTCAGTGTAAGGGGTAGGAGCTGGCAAACATCCCTCTGCTTCAAACATTGGATTCATCTCGGGAGGCTGAGAAATGGGGTCTCTCTCCATACAGCACGGCGCTTCTTTCTCACAATCTAGTTCATTTTAGGACACAATATGGTATTACAGTATTTCCAAAGAGAGTGCATGTAGCTTTTGAATGGTGTAAGCATCTTTTAGTTTATTATGGATACGGGCAAGAGGCTGCAGTTCTGTGCAGTTTTGTGAGTAATGTTTTAAAGCAAAGTTCTGACAATAAAAATAAGATGCGTCACCTGCTAAGATCGCCAGTGTGCACTAATTATGTTGCGTTCATTACCAGAAAGTTAACAGAAACACTCAATAAAATGATTTCAAGTGTACTGGTTACACCAACAATTGATGGAGCCGTTCTCCAAGCTTCATTTTTCAGGTTAAAACCTTTGATAGAAAAGTAGAATATCTGCTGGTGAAGCAAAATCACATCGGTCAGGAAATGACAAAGCAATGAAATAAATAAATAGTGTAGCTTAAGTTTAATGCAACTAACTTCAATTAAGCTAACTATTTGACCATCCACATATAGGTGAGGTTTCTTGGCTCAGCTCTGTAGGAAATGAATGGACGCCTCGTCTTGTTAAAGTAGACTGAATAAGCTGTAACAATAATACATTGTGGGACATGTTCAGAGAAGTTAAGGGTGTGTTTGCTTGTGTGTGTGTTTCAGAGGGCTCTCCCTTCAGCTGGTGGCTCGGGGGACCCGGACCCGGTCGAGTCCGGACTTATTGGGGCGGAGCTCAACCGGGCAGCCAGCAGTGTGCGTGCGGCCTGCAGGGCGACTGTGTGGACCCACAACACTACTGCAACTGTGACGCCGACCGCATGGAGTGGTACTGAAATTGATAAATACATAGACATGGTTATTGTTACTGTATAACCAAATATTATTGACACACCGCCGTGGGCTCCTGTTTTCGAGCCCCCATGTGTGCATAATGATCAGCATTACAGTTTAATTTATTGTCACTGAATGGACTGCAACTAAAATGTTGAAATGAAGCCAACAACAAACTAGAACCCAATTGCAACAGAGAATGCTTACGTCCACCAGGGATGCACAATGACGAATACAATTTAAAAGTTCCACAAAGATCAACTATGTTGTTGCTAAGCTGTTATATTGGATTGCATTATAATGTAAAGGAGGTTCTCGCTCAATGTAAATAATCAATCTCAACTCAACTTTATTTTTATAGCACTTCACACACAACACAACTGAGGACAACAAAAGAAGGAAACACAAGAGTGGAGAAGTCAGAGTGATGATAGTAATAATAACATCAAACTTGAATGGTTTGAGCCTACCTGTCCGCCCCAAATAAAGACATAAAAAAGAACAGTAATCTTTGCTTGGAAACTTGACAGCTCAGGCTCAAAAACTGAGCCCACTAGAGATGTGACTCTGGCTCTGGAGGGGCAGGGTAGCTGATCATTTGGCAACGTAAGATCAGAGGAGAATAAAGATATTTGATTTAAAGTGGTTGCAATAGTTTGTTTGACACATTTTACATTGAAGGACCAGTGTGTAGGATTTAGTGGCTTCTAACGTTGAAGTTGCAACAAACTGACAACCACTAACATCTGTATTTGACATCCTGGGAATGAGAACAAGCTGTGAAGTCTGTAGGAGAAACTAGTCTGGACGCCAAAAACGCCAAAGACCCTACAACCACTGTGGTGGACTCCAATGGATGGTGTCTATAGATTAAAAACGGCTCCTTCTAAGGCAACAAAAACACAATTTTACCTCTATATGCAGGTGATTAAACAATAATGAAAACATACCTATGAGTATTGTATTGCATTGCTGCCAACAGATCCTCCTAAATGTTACACAATTGACCTTTAAAAGTAGTTAAAACATGCAGTGAATAGTTCCAGGAGAAAACCACCACAAAGAAATTGGAAATAATACATCAAATTAATAGAAATAGAGACAAATATGATCAGTTATTGGCAATCAGGATCAGATGGAAATCAATAACCTACAAAAACTGTGACTTTTCTTATTGTTGTGTAAATTCATCCACATTACCTGATGTTAGAAGTGATTATGATCTGTTATTATGTTCATTAACTTTCACAAACGCTTTATATTGTGAATGTAGGTATAAGCTTTAAGGAATTGTTTTCATTACACCTCATTTCCTCAGTTCTAGGTCCAAACTCTCAAACTGTGACACTGTTTTTACAGACCAGGAAAATTCTCACCTGACAACTAGATTGACATGTAGATAACCAGAGGTGCATGAGGCTGAACATGGGTGTAAATGGATAGAACTGCTCACTCAGCTGTTTGTCCGGAGTGCTCTTTTAGAAAATAGCTGTCACAGAAATTGGCACAGATGGAGAGTCGAGTGTCAGGATGGCTATGATTCAATCTGACTCACCATTAAAATGTCTTCCTGGAAGACTGACACTGGACAGGTGGTAATCTAGCTGTACAATGTGCTGTAAGCATAAATATTTATATGAGGTGATATATGTCGAGGTTGTTAATCCAACAAAATGTTTTATCTTTGTTCTTGGATTATTTACACTCATACTTCTTCTTCCTCCTCTGCCCTCTCTTCTCCTTTCTTTCTTTTCCTTTTCTCTGTCTGTTACTCCTCCCTCCTCCACTTCCTCCATTTCTTTTTCTCATCCTTCTTCATCATTTTCTCTCCCCTTTCTCCTCCTCCTCCCTCCTTATTACTGTCCCCTCCGTCTTGTCATCTTTTTTCTTCCTCTCTTCCCCTTTTTCCTTCTCCTCTTCCCCCTCCCTGTGATCTCTTCCTTTTGTTCTGCACTCCACTTCCCTTTGATGTGTCATCTCTTTTTATCTTTCTTCTCCTTCTCCTCTTCCTCCTTATTATTCTTGTCTTCCCTTCTTTCTCCTCCCCTCCCTCCCTGTCCTTTGTTTTGCCCCTTTCCTACTTTCTCATTCTTTTCTCTTTTTCAAATCCTAATTATTGTCTTTCCTCTATTTTTTTCATCTGATTTTAATCCTTTCTCCTCCTCCTCTTCTTTTTCTTCCTCCTCCTGCAGGACTGAAGACTCGGGCCTGCTCACCCATAAGGAGAGCCTCCCTGTACGGTCTCTGGTGCTGGGTGACATCCAGAGGCCGGGGTCAGAGGCCGCCTACAGGGTGGGACCGCTCCGTTGTCATGGAGACAGTAAGTCCAGCTCTGGTTGCCTGGTTACGAGTGATGGAGAGACGACACAAATCTTGCTATTATGGACAATACTGTCACCATGTCAGGACTCAAACCAAGAAAAAAAATGTTTATTTGTTTAAACAATTTAAAACCACATTCATCGAGTCAGCCTCTGTTTTTAAATCAAGCAGCAAACTGAAAATAGTAACTTGTTCTTTTCTGTGAGACTAAATCCTCTCAGGCTTATTGTTGATACAATGGATGATGGAAATACAGGTTTAGGTATATAACCTTTCATTCCACCTGCCAATTATGAGATAAATGAATTCTTCTGGGTACAGTACCTCAACATCTAGGAGCTAATTATCATTAGCAGAGCTGTTGCTAATGCATATTTCCTTTTAAGTTTTCACACTCTGATACTTGCTTCTCATTACACGCATTACAAGGTAAATCAAAGTAGCGCACAGTTTTTCCTTCTTTCAATTATCCATAATTGCAGCTGTTCTATATCTACCCGAGTAGATAGATAAATAAATGTTTGGCATGATTAATCAAACAAGACCGCGTAACTGAAATCATACACTCGCGTAAGCTCATTAGCTGACTGTGTTGCCTCATTTGTTTCCTACGTGATTTCCATATAAAGATCTTGACAGCGAGTGTTTATCGTGTTTCTCAGAGAACTTCTGGAACGCTGCGTTTTTTGACAAGGAGACATCATACCTCCACTTCCCCACCTTCCACGGAGAGCTGAGCGCAGATATCTCCTTCCTGTTTAAAACCACAGCCTCGTCTGGTGTGTTCCTGGAAAACCTGGGCATCAAAGACTTCATCCGGATCGAACTGAGCTGTAAGTAGGAGCTGGAGGGTGAACATTTAATCCGGATTAGAGTGATGCGTCTGTGAAACCTGGAAGTCAAAGTCTTAATCTGGATCTGTGTAAAACCCAGAGGTAACAGACGTAATCTGTATCAAACTATCCTGGAGGGAAATATTATTTATTTTAGGTTGAACTCAGTTATCTTGACCTTCCTGTCCTGACTTTAACACAAAGACAGCTTAGTCTCACACTTTTACTGCATTAATCACCCTACACTTGAACATTATACCAAAATGTGATTGTTAAAAATGTGATTTCAAAACCACAAACGTTATTCTGCTACAATAACAGCCTCCACTCTTCTTGGAAGCCATTTTTCGTCAAATCTGGCTGCAGAATTTGCTCCCATTCAGCCACAAGAGCATCAGTGAGGTCCAGCACTGATGCTGGGTGATAAGCTCTGGCTCACAGTCAGTGTTGGATGGGGTCGAGGTCAGGGCTCTTTGAAGTTTTTCCACAACAAACTGGAGATAGATAGATATAAGTTAAAGTTGTAAACACACTGTTTGTCAAAAAAAATCAATGTATACTGTAGCCTGAAAACGTTTTAGAAGTTCTCTTTAACATATACAATATTCATGATTAAATTAACAGTAGTTTAATTCAATAATTTAATTTAAATAAAGAAACACCCTTAGATATTATTTAATTAAAAATGTCTGCTGTTGAGGACTTTGGGGGCATGGTGTGGACAACTCAACTGTTGTTGCTGAATTCGGACACATCACTTCCACTTCCACTAACATCAGCATTCAACTGCAACTTAACCTTTAATCCCACCTTGACTTCACTTCCCCTCAGTCTTCAACTCTTTAAATTAGCATTAATCAATATTTCTATAATAACAATGTATCACTGTATGAATGTTGGAAACAATGTGATGAACCTACAGAAAATTATCACCTGAATCTGGATCTTTTGAAAGAGAGACTTCACTTTAGGTTTCTGTTTTCATTGCTTGGATAATATGTTCTGTTTCTGCTTTAGCTTTCCAGCTATTTCCCACAGTGTACATCATTTAGAATATGCACAGCAATAACCAAGAGGGAATTTTTTACTTTATGGGTATAACAACATCGGGGCTGGTTGTGTGTTGTCATTTAAAATATGACAGAAATGCCCGCGAGGCTGTTCTTTACTATGCTTATGGATTTGCATCTAGGTATGAGATTCGTGTTTATGGGCAGACATGATGGTGGTTAGTAAGTCTTGTATAGATGACTTGAATCCGTTATTAGAGTCATCCATGGTTGCCTTTTGGGGCTCCACCAGCCCATTTCAACAGTTTTGTGTGTTTTAATTTGCAGTTTTTGTATTGTGCTGCATTTTGCATTTTCTTACAAATGTGATATGAAGAGACAAAAATCCAGACCCTAATACAGGGACACTGCTGCACCAACAGACTGTCTCCTCAGGGAAATCATTGTCAGTGTGGTTGCTCCAGCTCTGAATACTGCTGCTCTGTTGCCGGCTTCCTCAGATCACTCTGTAACACTTTGGCTGAGCCTGAGAACAATTTCTAAATGAAGTTACGGCATGATGCTGGGATATTGTTTCATCTTGTTCTGAGCTCACAGAGTAATACATCTTCTCCTTCCAGAGCATAAACAATGAGGGATGAGACGCCTGTACTCTCCAAAATCGACTCCTTTTGTTGGAATGAACATGACAGAAATATTGTGATCTGAGCAGGCCGATTGAAAGAGGCAACCACAGAGAGCCGAAGTGAAACTGAAACTTCGAGCTATATAGTTTCACTTCTGAAGTCAGAAAACCTTTTGTAAGATCGCTAATTATCCAATTATCCAACAAAGCTTTTCTCAACAGTATTTCTATTTGAATTATGGGAAGGACCACTTAGTGCCTGGCCAGTATTGTCAAGCAATATCAGGTCAAAATCAATAACTGGCAAAATTGTACTATTTATATTGTCATAGCTGGTTGTATTAGTCCATTATGGGCAATGCTAAGTGAGCAGGACTGCTATGTGGCCATATTGGATTATTGGATGTTTGTGGTAACCTTGGTGTTAAGGAAGCCATGAAGTTCAAATTTGGGCAAAGAGCCTGGGTGGAGTTGTGGTGAGACAAGCAAACATTACAAACTGTTAGCTGTGAGGTTTCAGATGGGCTTTACCTCAGACTCACCCTTCCTGTCTCACCTTTCTCCCTCAGCCTCCACTCAGGTGGTTTTCTCCTTCGATGTGGGTAACGGGCCGTTGGAGGTCCGCGTGGAGTCGAGCGTCCCGCTGAACGACAACCGGTGGCATCGAGTCCGAGCCGAGAGAAACATCAAAGAGGCGTCGCTTCGATTGGACGGACTTCCTGCCGCCACACAGGAGGCTCCTACTGATGGACATTTCCACCTGCAGCTCAACAGCCAGCTGTTCATAGGTGAGGATGAGATACAGTGAAGCAGTACTATGTGTTTCCTTTGCTTGTCTGGAGCCAGTATCTGACCTGATCCAAAAAAATAACATAAAACCTTGTAAAGTACCTTTCAGATATGTCTCATTATGCACGTGTTTGTGCTTACTCTTTTTGCCTAGATTACTCACCCATATGTGGCTTGTTGGTCTAGGGGTATGACTCTCGCTTAGGGTGTGATTAGGTTCAAATCCTGGACGAGCCCTTTACAATAGCAGCTTGAGGACCTATGCAAATTAATGCAGTTATGAGTTTACTGCAAGACTAAAAAACGTTCAAAACCTTCTAAGGTCTGAAATATCTCATTCTGAAGACTCCAAACTCTTTGTGTCTCAGAGAGGTGTTTAATACAGGGGGTTTCGGGGGAAACTGTTGCATAAAGTGATGGAAAAATCAGCACCTCCTTTTGCTTACTACGTTTCAGCCGCCATGAAATCTGACTCTTGCTTTCACAAAGAGTGTTGCACGGTGGTCTGGGGCTATATAGGGTGTGAGAAGTCCCAGGTTCAAATCCCTCCACAGGAAATGCATGAAAATCTTTATGGTACCAGAAACATTTCAGGCACTGTCTGGAGCATATATCTCTCCCACACACACAGTATTCAGTATCATCTCATACAATAAGTGTCCACTTGTGACAGATGTTCCTATACTGCAGTTTGCTATTGTTTGTAATATGTCTTTGTTATTGCTGTTTTTGTTTTTGTACTGGTGCACCAGCAGTTCGGGCAGCAATACTGCCACTATGCACGTTGAATGCATAATAATGAAGTCAAGTTAAATTGAACACCAATTACCAGCCTATGTCAGCTTTAATAGAGCTCACACTGTCATCATTTTTATTATGAGCTTTGCAGGAAGGTAGTCGTGCGCAAATCCTGTCCTATATTTAGGGCCAGGTGCAGGATAACAGATACACGACAGAACCTGCACACTGGATTAAAGCTCCCAAAACTATATGGAGTATACCTACTTATTTTTCAGTCAGCATTGGGTATACCCACTTCTAAATCGTTTTTCCTAGGACGGCGAAGCCAATTTTCATGAGTGGATGGAGTAAGGAATAAGGAATACTTCACTCAAAATGCATCATTATGTAGTTGCCTCATCCATCTGTGGACCAGCATTGATTGCAAAATCTCTTCTGTGGCTAATGTTCATTTCATATTGATCATTACTGCCTGAAGTCTAGCAGCAGAAGTTAAGTAACAATGTGCAAATTACACTTGCCTGTTTTTGGGTGAACTAAATATACAAGTGTTGCTGTACGTGTATGTATGTATATATATATATATATATATATATATATATATATATATATATATATGTATATACAAATATACATTTCTATAATAGGGTAACATGACGACACAGTATAATAATAAATGAACCCACCATAGTTTAAGATAAAACTATATTGTACAATTATAATGGTAATTTAAGGTAAAGATACAGATAACAATCATTTTAATTACTTGTGTTGATGTTTGACTTTACAGACAAGAAAATGTAGAAAGTCCATCTCCTCTGTATCACACATGCTAATCTGTTATTGACTAAATGCCACCAAGTGGTGCTAAAGATGATGCCAATTTGACACATTTATCAATAGGGGGTCATGCATTAAGTCTCTCCCTCCACAGCTAAACCTTTAACATTTTTAAAAATCACAAGCCCATACTACAGGATCAGACCCTCCAGACTCACGTATGCTCAGAAAAATGCTAAACATATTCTTTTTCCACATATGCCAATCTTTTATCGGCTAAACCCTGTTGTTTGATCAGCAGTATTGGATGTAAAAGGTGCTGAGCCCCCACTTGTATTCAATAGGACTTCTACTTTCTACTAGGTCTTTATCCACAGCCCTACAGTGTAAACTCCTCACAGACAGTACCATTACCAGGCCCCCCCTTTAGAGCCCCACATACTCTAAAAGGAGAATAAATATTCTTGTGTTAAAATATGTGGATATTTGCCAAATCAGCACTATTGAATATGAAAGTGCTGAGTCAATGGTTTCTGACCACTGAACAATGATCGTGTTTAATAAATAAAGCATGCATCAGGGAGCAGTATTATCTAGTGTAGTATATAATGTGGTTTCTTGCAGTGAGAGTCTTTAAATAATCTGTAAATGAAGCTGAACCTGTGAAGGATTCTAATACAAACCTAATCAATACTGCAGCCCTGTTTATCTCATCGTCATCAGTTTAACTCTGCAGTAAGATTAACCTCCCACTCTCTATCTGTAGACCTGCAGGAGAGAAAAAATATAGAAAATCCATCATTTATTTTCCGGTTTCATCATTCGGCAGATATTATGTATGTCACTTGATATCAGTAAACACACACTGTGGAGGGAAAACAAACCAACAATTGATGAGATCGGATGAAGCCAGCAGCAGCAGCAGCAGCAGCAGGGATATCGAGCTGAATATTGATTGGCTGAATGTGTTTAGCCAATAATCCGCTCCGAGGTCACCACCATCAGCCTACACCTGCACATGTTTACCTCTGAATTATCAGTACAGTTCAGTGGAATATGTAGGGTGGATTTATGTGTTGTAATAGGAATGCGCTGGTATTTATTCACAAATTGGTTTAACAATGGATGTTTGTCGTATAATGTTCTGACTTCTCTGGCGTCTTGTTTTGCGAGGAGCAGTGACGAGACGAGGTCTAGCTATAGGCACAGGTTTGATTCCTGTAACTAAAGTGTCCTTCAGCAGCACTGGATTCTGTTATAGTGTGCTTGAGTGAGACACTAAACCCTGAATGTACCTGCTGAGCATCAACTAAATGCTTGACATCCGAAAATAAGGCACGGTTACACTGTGTGAGTGGCTGCGAAATATAATTAAGAAGCAACAACAGCCTCTCATAAATATTTACATACTATCTTTGTTATCCCTAAACAACCCAGCAACCCAACAACTATACACATCCTGTATTTACGTCACTAAAAACAGCAATCCCACAGTTTGATTCAACTCTTTAATGCCAGAATCAAAAGTGAAAGTATGCACTGCTCAAAATGACTTTTTTTGTTTTATTGGTTAATTTAAGCAGCTTAAAAGATTTCTGGGGAATAAAATTGTCCCCTTTAGGATAAATCTTAGTTTGTTTGTTGACTCCATTACTTTTTCCTCTAGCGCCACCAGCAGGTTAAAGTTGCAGTTTGTCCAATGCTTTAGTTTATGATCAAATACCTGCAAAATGACATTCCCATCAGCCTCAGCTGTATTTTGTGTTTTGTGCTAATTTGCAAATGTTGACACGCTAACACACTAAGATTATTAACATTTCTCTCAACGTGCTGCTGTGCATCAGTACAACCTCACAAAGCCACAATCACGGCTGTAGACTCGTGTGTTGTTTTCATTAGTCCCTCCTCGACAACTCAACTCTCATTTCTTTCCAACTCAACCTCCCCAGTGTGTAATAATGACTTTGGTAGTTTCTCAACCCAAGATGAGATACCTGGGAACGATCATGTTACTCAGATAACTCCTAACAATGGGAAGCAGCTGGACTCGGTTTGGACCACACAGCGTCCTTTGAGGAACTACTGGCAGCTGGCGTGGTTTAATGCTAGGTGTTTGTGACGACGTGTCTGAGAAGTTACTGTTTGCTCAAAAACAACAATGGCTGCTGCTGTAGAGGTTATCGTAGATGCTGCTAGTATCTATTCTCAATGGAAAAGGTCACTGAGAGTTCGACTATGTTTGACTATGTATGCCAACAGTGTCTTCCCAGATTGTTCTGTGTAACAAACCATCTGGTGCAGTCGGTTTAGAAACTCCCTCCAGAGCCACAGAAGACAGTCCGAGTACTTTCTCCATGAGTAAAAATCTTCATGTGTTTAAGCAAATGTTTCTGTATATGCGGCTTGTTGTGGGGCTGTTGGCGCTGAGGGATTAATACATACATATACAATATCTTACTGTGGACAAATATTGAATTATTTACATTCACAAGCTTCAGCATTGGCTTGTTTGAATTCATAAACAATCCTACCATATGCATTGTATATACTGTATGAGTCCTGATTTGGAAAGCAAACTGTTTCCATTGTTTGAATTATAAGCCACTGTGTTGCTTTGTATAAATTCATGAGCCATATTTCAATGTACACTGTATTTACGAGCCATAATCCTGCGTTGGTTTATAAGGCAATGAAGTCCATCGTTTTGATTAATAAGCCGTGTTATTGCCTTGCATGGATTTATAATCTACAGCATTGTTCATTGTCCAATTCCTTTATTGCTGTTTATATTGTAGGCGCTAAAAATTCATACGCAGCACTTTTGAGTGAGCTCAGCGATGAATGCAGAAATAACTTCCTTTGTGAAGGTTTATAAGCAATTATTTTGCTATTTGGATACTTAAGCCTTTGTACATTCGTGCTGCACTGTTGATGTGCTGGACACAGAGATTATTCCTCTCTTCCGCTGCATATAGACAAAGAATCCTCCTGTACAAGGATTTTCAGGAGTCCTTTGATCTTTGCTTCACACATCCCTTGAAATGCAGCAGCATTGACGTCATATCATCCTGGAATATAATGTGAGCAGCATCCTGACAAGTCAAGGTTAGCTAGTAATCTGTGTTGAGGTTCTTTTGTTTTTTTCTTCTAGTCCTCTCTTCATAAAACAAAATTTTGTTACGTAGTTTATTTTGAATACCTGCTTCAACATCATAAATTCTTCATATAACAGTGGAACTGAGATCAAATGGAAACAGTTTAGTTCTGATATCACTATTTTACCTACAACTGAGGTTTTTTACCCTTGGAACAACCATGAGGAAATGACAATCGTTAGTAAAAGCTGAATATATTTTTATTTTTTTCTTGAAATTGGTGCATTCCTTGATTCTTTGCCATTTTTCTAACTTGTAACTTGCTTGTTTTTGGTGTTGTGAGGATGAAAACAGTGAGATCAAGCCTGAACCACATACGATTTGTGAATGTCAACATGTGAACCTACAAAAAAGATTGGGAGTCTAACTTTATCTGACACCAAGGATCTCAAAGTGCTGGCCTAGGGACAATTTCCAGCCCTCCATTCCCCTTTTCTGTGGCCCGCCACATGATGAATAAAATATAACATGCAAGATTTTTTGATTTTTGTCTTGTATATCAATTTAAACTACCCTTCACATACAAATAAAATAATTGTATTTGTTGTATGGCTGCAATCGCCAAAGATGATATAAAATGATGATATAAAAATGTAATGTAAGGTTTGCATTCTTTGTTAAGTGTGATGTTAGTAATGGAAATATCTTACGAATATTGCTCTTTCATGTAGTATCTGAACGTTAAGTGACCCTCCTACGAGATGCCAATAACAGCAGTGGTCCCAAGCCAATTTGACAGCGTGCGTACAGACGGGCTGTGCAGAAATATCATGCTCGGTAAAAACATACGGTTCCAAAAAGGTTAAGAACCCCTGCTTTAAAACACAGTATATATGCAGAGTTTTTGTAAAACCCAGTGAAGCATCCTTCCTTCATGGTATCTTTTGATTTAAACCTCACAAATCCTTCACATCAGAGCGGAAAAGACATTGTGTGTAAACTGGAACTGTCATCTTATTTATACTGATTGAAGCACTGATGGGTTCTTTTTCTGCGTGCAGCATCAGCAAACCGCGCTGTACTGTACACACACTGTCTTTGATGGTTGGTTTGATCTCTATCTCACACGCCTCACAACTCAGATCCTCTTATTCTGTTTTATCTGCATTATCAGAGAGTATCCTGATTTCATGGAGACTTGAATTCTCCGAGCTGATTCTGTGCTGCAGCCTATGTGGCTGACTCTTACACAGCTCCTGAGGTTTGGATTCATTCTCTCTGTGTTTGCTTTCCAAGCTTGATGTTGAGGCTTGCCCCTGTACCACCTTTGATGAGGACTTTGATCTCCATTTCACTAATTGTTTTCCTCTCTCATGTGCTCTCATGTGATTTAGTATACGCTGTGCAGATCTTATGTTGAGACACAAGAGGCTCTAGTGCTTGATATGAGGTTGAAATTCTCTCCAAGGTCCCACTGATAGCTTTGCTCCTTTGGTCAGAGGTTGAGTTTATCTGCATTCGGACTCTTTGATGTTTTCTTTGATCTCCACGTCACAAATCCCTCATTATGCTCTTTCAAATGTTTCCTGTAAGCAGTGTTTGCATTTGATGCAGAGGGAGCATAATCCGTGTTGGAGCTTTGATTGCCTCCCTGTTAGGATGGTTTGTTCTCTAATAACCTTTCTCTGCCTCTGTTTTGTTGCTTTCATCAGAGGTGGTGAACCTCAGGGATCTGTCTCCGGTCCCTGCTGGAATCACAACTTTCACTTTCAGCTCTCCCAGCTGTATCAGGAAAAATTATGAAATATCCAGATAGCCTATCTAATATTTAGAATATTTATTTTTCTTTGGTTAAAAGTAGAAGGTCTATGTACTTAAGGAGAGAAGTCAACGATGACTCCCATAGAGAATTTTAGTAAGTAACATCCAACCACCTAACTTAAAATGATCTTCTCCGGTGGGTTTTTCTGTTCTCATTTGCATTCTGCTTTACATTAATTGGTATTGTAGTATTTAGAGCCATCTGCCAAAACAATCTGATGAAAAATGTAATCCTGTAAACATCGTAAAAGTAATTAAAGCTGATAGCAATAACATAAATCTACAGTTCAGTTATCCAGCAGACTACAGTGTTTCTATGTGAAAGTGAAGGACCAGTGTGTAGGATTTTGTTGCATCTAGCAGTGAGATTGCAGATTGCAAACAAATGAAACCCTCCGACTCAACCAAGCTCGGAGAAAAAACTATAATGGCTGCGAAGCTCACTAAAAACCCAAAGGTCCTACAGCCAGTGTTTGGTTTCGTCGTTCTGGGCTACTGTAGAAACATGGCAGTTCAATATGGTGGACTCTGTAGAAGAGGACCTCCTCCCTCTGTAGATAAAAACAGCTCATTCCAATAACAACAAAAATTCTTATTGTCAGGTGATTTTACACTAATGAAAATCCTCCTAAATCTTACACACTGGACCTTTAAGGATATCATTTAAAGAACATCTGTGAAGTGTGAATTTAAAGTGTTAAAAAAAAAATACTGGGAAAAAAAATAGTTTTTTAAAGTTACTAACTAAGGTCTTTCAACTTAGAGAAGAAAAGTGTTCACATGACATGTCAGTCCCATTAGGCGATCCTAGATGTTTCTTTCAAGATACAGTCACAAGCCAGTCAGAGATAATAGCTGCCCTTCCAGAGTTAGCGTTGATGGAGTGTATAACCTGAGTATCATAAGGTTTCTGCTCACACTAGCATCATAACGCAAAATATAAAAGGTGTTCAAAAGGTGTATTCATAATATAATAAACTGAATTATTATGCAGAAAACTAGGTGCAGTAACTGGGTTACACTTGTGTAATTGACACTGTGATTATGACACTGATTGACATACAAAAGGCATTTACATAAGAAATGCAAGCAGTGCCATAATCAAGTAAGGTCATATTATTATTCCGCTTCCTGGGAGGACACTTTGTCATATCTGTATTATAGTCACTTTCTTAAATCTGAATACATAACTGTGTAATTTTAAGCAGACGAGGATAAAAACATACTTTTCATTGTATTGTGTCAGAGGAAATATTGAGGCATATCCTGTGCTGCTTAGCTGGTTCAATAATTCATACGAGTCAAATCAGAGCAGGGAGAGGAGGCCTAGAGGAGAGTCTAACGGAGCTCAGTGATTTATTGGTGTGAAAAGCTGCTGCTGCTGCTGAACAATAGGAAGTTGTCAGCTTCAAACTCTCAGAGCAAAGAGCTGCCACGTTTGCGTTCTGAGCACAATAAGACTTTCAATCTGTGGTCTTCGCAGAAATGGGAGGTTGTCATGTTTGAACTGTGCGAACAATAGGTGACCATGTCACATCTCAGAGAGAATGTGCAATGTTGAATACAGAGTTTGATCTTTTGTTGCTGAAGTATTGAAGTATAAAGTTAGCATATACAGCATGTAGTGTTATATAGGCCGACAGGCAGCCGACCAATCAGCCACTTATCCAGCGAGCATCCAGCATGGCAGACGGACAGCTGATGACAGTTACGTATGTCCCAATGTGTTCCACCTACATCTGGTTGCCTCATTGCCGTTTCATCGTTGTGTCATTTTATAAGGAGAGTGTTGACAGTTTGAAGCTTCTGGGGAAGCAGAGGCGACATGTGGATCTGCTGTAGATGACAGGAGGAGGAGAAATGAAGAACTAGAGAGAAAGAAAACATACAGACTTGTCGACACACAAAGAAATAAGAAAAGGGCTGGGACAAGTTAGTTGACAAGTGTGTCAAATGTGAACCTATTGTGACACCACCCATTGGTTTGCGGAGCACCGCTTTGAAGACTCGTGTTTGGTGTTATGGCCGTCACTAAAATATGTTTCTGAAGTGATTTTAGAAATGCAGGACTCTTGATTAATAGTTGATCAGCACTGACTTGTTTGACAGTTTGATCTGAGTTTGGTGCGTTGTGCTGGACGAACTCACTGAGAATGAATTTTCAAAATGAACATCATGCTGTATGGAAGAAGACTTGAAACTGGCAATTGAGGCCATAAACTCATTTGTAAACTGTTCACTGAGCAAATTAAATCAAGCGAGAAGTCGACTCATTTCTCCGTAAGACTCTCAGACTTTTTCCCCCTGCTGGCCATTAGAAAGAATGCAGGTTTAAGACACTTCCTCATTAGCTTCACTTCACAGACCTGGAAGCTCTGTCCAAATATTCTGTCAGTGGTTGAAGTAGATCCTTAGGACAGGAATATTTGTCACCTCTTTGGTCTGGGGGCTCCGGCTTTGCTTCATTAGCTGAATGTCTAAAACGTTATTGTCATTTACTGTTTTGTATGTTTTCAGGGGGCACAGCGTCCAGACAGAAGGGCTTCCGGGGCTGTATTCGCTCTCTGCAGCTGAACGGTGTCACCCTGGACCTGGAGGAGAGGGCGAGGATCACACCCGGGGTTCGACCCGGCTGCCCGGGTCACTGCAGCAGCTACGGCTCGTTCTGCCAGAACGGGGGCCGCTGTGTGGAGAGAGCCAACGGCTTCCACTGTGACTGCGGCCTGTCGGCGTACACTGGGGTCTTCTGCCACACAGGTACACACATACAGAGACACAGATTAGTAAAGTTTTGTGACAGGTGAAGTCAGTGACTCTACCAGCTGGTTTGGTTGAAAGAGTTATTATTATTTTGTAGGTAATTGAAGCAGTTTTAAAAGACACAATGTTAGCATTCATTTGGATTTGTGTGTCTGTCCACCTGATGGAATGTAAGTCCAATTCACAACTGAAACACTGAAACTTCTCACGCCTCTTCCACACCACTGTCCATCTGTTTCCACGCTCAAAATCTTTATATTGTTACCAGAACTGTCAATCCTTCAACTTTAAATCCAGGGTTTTGATTTTTATATGTTAGAGCGCCTGCCTCCTTTCCTTCCACTGCTGTGTACTTTGGTCTGAGGATTGATTGAGAAGTTACTGCACGTATTTGGCTATATTTGGCAGAAATATGCATGTGGACATATTGAGCTTGCAGCTGCACAGCAGAGGAGTGGATAATGGTGCAGAAGTGGTTTGAGAAGGTTCTTTGTATATTTTCATGCCTTTTTCAGCCATGAAATCTGATCATTATTAAAATCCATTGTGACACACAAATATAAGCTGACCACAACAACTGGGAAAGACAAAAGTACAAACTTTGTACAACCAAAGATGGCTAAAGTGGCAAAGTAGTTGATATTCAAAAGATGGATTTTGGGTGGAGCATGCCTACAGCGGTGCCACCTGCACTGACCTCCCTGTAGGAGACCTGTCGAACCGCTTCACAATATGCTGCCTAGTGTCACTTCATGCCTCCATCCCCTCCCTCTGCTTTGCATTTACTGTATGTTTGCTCATTTATCTCAACAGCCAAGGTTAAAGCTGTTGTGATGTCTTGTGTGTGCGTGGAGTTCCTTTAGGAGAAAAGCCTTTAACTTCAGTCTCAGTTAAGATGACTTTTAATAACACTTTCAGGGCAGGAAGGCAATTATAATAGGACGAATTCCCACAAACTTATATAGAAAGAAATGTGAGTAATGAGTATGTGTGGGTGCGTTATCTGATATTGTCTAAAGGTTATGGTTTATTCCAGAGAACTTTTTATTGCTTTAACTGGACTCATTATCAAGAAATACTATCAAAGATTATTGTTTGATGTGCTGGAGACTATTTTAGTCCTTTGTTTGATGTTAACTGTAATTGTGCATCATCACATTGACCTTCATGCCTTCCACGAGTTCAGTGACTTTACTGAGTTCAGCAAGTTCTATTTTTTAAAAGGACACTCTTAACCCTCCTCCCACTGAACACTGATATCCTCTTATGTCCCCCGTTGTGTTGAGTCAGAACGACAGTTTGTGTTTCATGTCTGTGAGTCACAGTGACGCACATTAGCTGTGTTTGATATTTTAAAAGTTCATTTCTGTTTCCTGTTGGAAAATTAAAGCAAGTGCTCGACAGGTCTAAAGACAGTTTTCTGTAATCCTCTGCAGATATTTTGAGAACATCTTTTTATTCTCTTGCTAACTGATCAGACATGGAAAGTTTTTCCGATGCCTCCCTCGGAAGTTAATTAAAGTTTGGAAACTGTGTAAAGAGAGTCTAAATATATGTATTGTACTATCCCCCAGAAATAAATCATTTGTTTACTAGTAAAATTTAGCACTTTGTATATATAATATATATATATATATATATATATATTTAAGGGTTTCAAAGTAGAATATATTCATGACGGATTAAAAAGGCCACTGGATGTTCTCTAATCCTGAATAATGCTCACATAATTAGACAGTTCACAAGAAGTGAATGTATAATAATGTTTAGAATCAAATGATTGTTGTGATTAAAATTAAAATAATAATGTTTGCTGGTTAAGCTCCTCAATCATTGATCATTTTCAAGTCATCACTTCATTCTTCTTACTACTGATGATACTACTGACTGCTTTTTGTCATTTAGCATTTTAGAGAGAAGGTGATTACATGAGTAATAGAAAAAAGAATTGGTAATTGGCAAGATGGCACTCGGGTGACTATGTCCAGGGACTACTTTGTCAACTGTATTATTATATTCTTAATGTGCAGTGTCAAAATGTCAAATAAACTATTAAGGGCGGGAATGCTGGAACATGCTGCTCTCTGCTGTCTGTAAGCAAACATGCATGGAAGACACTCACAGGGCTTGTACAATTAGTATCTTCTGTTTTGAACACACCTCCCAACAAACAATTGGACCGACCATCCCATGTAGCATACCTCTGCAAATGTATATTTCCAGTCTGACTCTCCACTGAATAAGTAGGGATAGATAATAGATGTGAAATATAAAATATGCAACAAAAAAATTTGTTCAACAAGTTGAGAATAAAACATCAAGCTGAATAGAGTGCTAATAAAATTTGTATTAATAGTTTGGGATTATATCTCGTTTTTAGGGTGACTGTCCTAATCAAGAAGTCCAAATACATCAGCAACAAATCCGATATATTCTTTTAACTCTCCCCATTCCTCCAGAGGTGTCAGCCAGCTTCAAGTCGGGGACGTCCATCAGCTACACCTTCAAGGAGCCGTACGAGTTGAGCAGGAACAGCAGCGCCCTGCCGTCCTCCATCTACTCTGACATGACTCTGAGAGGAGAGAACGTCTCCCTGAGCTTCAGGACCAACCAGAGTCCGGCTGTGCTGTTCTATGTCAGCTCTTACTACAGAGAGTACCTGGCCCTGCTCATCAACAAGCATGGTGAGGACGCTTTTATCCTGGAGGAGTTTGTGTATTCGGCAGATGTTCAAGGTTGAGATGGAGCGTCTTGTTTGGATTTAATTGTTCTTCCTTCTTAATGGCCTCTTCCCCTCGCTTTTCTGTCCTTCCTTTACCTTCAATACAGTGTTCCTCAAATGTTGCATTTTCTTGTTCATACGTCGAATTATTCCCCCTTTGCCATGCGTAATTTTTTCTCTTTTCTCAGTTCTCTCCTCTTCTTTTTATCCAATTATTTCTCATTTCAAGAGTTTCCTTTTTTCAGTTACTCTTCTCTCTTCGCATCTCCTCCCATCCTCTCATCTCACCTCTCCTCCCCTCTTCCTCTCATCCTCTCTCATTTAAGTCATCTTCTCTTAATATTGACCTCTCCTTGTTTCCTTATCCCCTCTCTCCTCCTCTCTACTTCTCCTCCTCCCCCTCCTCTTCCTCCTCCTCCTCCTCCTCCTCCTCCTCCTCTGTGCTGTGCTCTTCAGCTTTACCAGATCTATCAGGATCTGTCAGATCTTTCCTCTCTCTGGATTCACCCAGTCAGCCTCTACTGCTTTTAATCCGTCCAGCCGGACCGGCTATTATGTTTTGTCTTAGGCTGAAAAAAAAAGACCTGATGAGAGATGATGAGGGAATGAAAGTTTGGTGGGCTGCTAATGGGTGGGAGGTCAGTGTGCCGCTGAATAAAACAGCTGAAAACTTGCTGATGTGTTTTATACACTTTTGTGTGAAATAATAATGTTGTGAGTTTGGCTTTTAAGGGTAGTAGGAGTCACTTTGAATTTAAAATTACATTTTCAGCATCCAGGAGTCTAATAAAATCAGCACTTTGCTGCTAGATTAGCTGTAAATGGATTTTTTCTGGTGTTAATGAGTCAGAGAAAGCTGATGGACAGCAGAGCATTAAGGTTTTCATGCTGACCATAGAGTTGTCAGGTAAATGCACTCATACTGAAGTGTCCAATTAAATCCCTGAGAGCTCTCTCTTATTTGCCCTGAGATGGCTCATTTCTTTTTACACTTGACTGCAGTTACACCTCCTCTGCCCAAACACAACCTCTCTACTTAAGGCGTCTTTTTAAGAATAAATTTGTTATCAAAGCAACAGCAGGTAGCCGGAGGTTCTCCTACAGTAACTAATTATTCCTTCACATTCCTTCATAGGGAAGACAGGTATTGAGTTGTAGTTGTGAGACCTTGATATATGATTTATTAGATTTATTTATACTAGTATAACACATGTCGTAAAGGAAAACATTTTATTTCTTGTCCCTCTCTGAAGACATCACAGGGCTTTTGTTAAATCTGCACTTAATGATCTGAATAATAGGGGAATTAACCAGATTAGTTATGTTATTGATAGGGACTTAGCTGTTATCCTCTTATTATAGAAATCTTAATTAATACAGCAATGCTTCTTTAAAATATTCAGATTTATCTTTGAAGTGTGTTTACCCTGTTAGCGGAAATTAGAGGACATGACAAGGCCTTTTTTTTTTCAGGTTGCTTTAAGCGTAAATCTCTCTGAGCTCTGAAGGTTGTTTCCTTTTTTGTGAGATCTGATATGTAACCCAATGGTTTGGTGTGTGTTCCTGTGTGAAGATATGCTGGAGGTGAGATACAAAATGGACAACAGCAGAGATGTTGAAGTGTTGAGAAGCAGAGTGAGGAGCCTGGCCAACGGACAGCTTCACACTGTTAGCATCAGGAGGCTGACAGACTCTGTGTCTGTGCAGGTAAAACTACCTCATTACTTCGTCAAGTTCTTGTATCTTAAAACCTTATGAAACAATTGCCGACATACACAACCACAGAGCAACATGAAAACCCCTGTGAAGCCTTGATCCATCTGACAAATGTTCAATATTTATTCTCCTCAACAAGATAACTGGTGTTTAGCTGCTGTTCAACACGTCTGCTGTTGGTGCTGGGCAGGTTTCATAAACTCATTTGATGAGTTAATTTGCAGGAAGCATGTAGCTATGGTGTTATACATGGTGGTTGGTGGGAATCCTACATTAAATGTGCTGTAAAGGCAAAACAAAGACCTAAAATACACTTAAAATCTCTGTTAAGCTCCTGTAAAAGCAACTGTTTCACTTTACTTGGTCAGTTCATTGAGTTGTGAAATTAAACATATGTTTTGATGTAAGAAATACACACATCATCATTACATAGCCCACAAGGACAAACACACACTTACAGCTGTACACATATATAAAGATATCTCTACATTATTTGTCAGCAACTGTAATTAATAATCATTAATCATATCTGTTTATTAAATGTTTATATATTGCTTACACATGGGGGACTATGAAGCGTTACCACGGCTTTCTGGGCTTCACAGTCTGTTTTCTTTGTCTTCTTTGACTTGTGTACACGAGTTCATACACTATGTATTGGACTGCAAGTGTTGCTGATTTTGTGTCGAGTAGACAAGGTGCAAAGCTGCCAAACATTAACCTTTTTCCATGTTTGCCAAATGAGAAGTCGATCTCAAGGGCGAACACAATGACATACATACAGATACACACCCAGCCCTTCTGCGTACTATGGTACAGTATTGTGATATTCCTCTATATAATATATCCCCAGTCAGCACTATTCCCAGCTCAGCCACCAGCAGCTGCTATCCTGGATGCAGCTATGGCAGGCCAGCAGGGACAAACTGCACATTAAAAACAGCTCCCAATGAAATATGAAGCGTCTTAATCGTATCTGGATCTACTGAATCTCTTATCTTGTTAACAACAGCCTCAGATGATATATGAGGTAAACTTCCTCTAACCAGGAGCCAGCAGTCTGAGTGTCTGTATAATTATCACCCTGAAATACAAGGTGACCTCGTCTTGCATGGCTGCAGCCTCCACATTCACAACTGTGTTGTGAGGCTCCATTGAAATATGAGGTGCATCTCATCTTATCAGTCTCCATCATGTTGAATCATTTTATCTTCAGAGGCACACTCTAAAGGCATACAGTGATGGTTTAGTCAAGAGAAAGATATCTCCACAACTATTTACGACTATTTAGAGGTGTTTTGGCCCCCAAAAGATAAATCCTAATGTTTCTGGAGGACATTTATGCTCCCCTTTCCACCTTGGACACCCAGGGGCTTTAACAATAGAATGCAAAGTTTTCCCTAAATGGATTAATTCAATAATTCTCTTCTTTCAGATTGACCAAAACGCCAGAGAAGAATTCAATCTGACGTCTGACGGAGAATTAAATGGCATCAAGATGTTGGTGTTGGGCAAAGTGCACGGTAAGTGAGGAGGCAGTAAAAGCAGAGACAAGGTCTCTTTAGTTAGAGAGCACTCAGACTCATCTGAATAACAGCTTTAGAGGATGTTTGGCCTCATCTGACACACAGTTTAGGAATATTTAGAGAAATAAATGTTGCTTCAGCCAAATGGAAATATCATTCAAGGTATCTGAAAAGTCTGAGGCAAAATGTAAGAACTTCTGGTATCTCCAGTCTAAACTAACCACCAGAGTTAAAGGACCAGTGTGTAGGATGTAGTGGCACCTAGTGGTGAAGTTGCAGATTGCAACCAACTGAACACCGCTCGCGTCTGTATTTGACAACCTGGGAATGAGATCGGGCTGTGAAATGTGTAGAAGAAACTATGGTGGTCGCAAAAATGCGAAAGGCCCTATATACAGCCAGTGTTCAGTGTGTCTGATCTGGGCTCCTGTAGAAACATGGCTGTTCAACATGGTGGACTCTTTTGGAGAAAAAAAAACATTTTGTTATTTTCAGGTGATTTTTACACTAATGAAAACATACCTATGGATATTGTCTGCCATTTCTGCCAATAGCTCCTTCTAAATGTTACACACTGCAGCTTTAAACAGAAAATAATTTAAATATCTGGATCCGTTTCAAAGTGTCATTTCTTTTGTTTCGAAAGGTGTTTTTTAGCTCTAGTTAGCTAAATATTTAGCCAACTACCAAACATATTGTCACCTAACGTGGTAGCTCATGTGTGTTGTTGCTAATAACACTCAATGACTTGTAGCATGTCTAAGTTAATTACCTATTTGTGACTGTGACTCCAGAGTCATTTATTTTTAACTGGTAGTCCATAATTTAGTGCATTTATTTTACAACGTTGTTAACATTCTCCAGTGAGGATTATTGTTTGCTCCTCCAACTTTGTGCATAGTTTTACTCCCATTACACTGGACCTGTGCTGGTGTCAAGTTAGCTGTCAAAACAAATCTAGAAGAGCTTGATGCATAATTGATTAGTTGTTGCAAGTATCATGTGTAGCACCTTTCACTTTCTATCAGGAGCGATGAAAGGAGAGAAACACATGAGACAGCTTCTAGAAGCCTTAGCAAGTACGGATATGTTTAGCATCAGTAAATGAGTGCAGGGTCAGGTGCTTTCCTGCAACCCACCTGCACACATTTTAATCCTGTAAGAAAAACTCTCATCCTCTGGGAGGGTTAAAACACATCCTCATCGAGCTCCTGTGTGTAGACCTGGACGGGGGACCTGTAACAGAGTCAGCATGAGACAGTAATTGGTTCTGTCATGACTTATTCATGTTCTCTTTGAGCGGCTCCATCAGAGACGGACTGAGGTATAAGCTGTTAATAACACGAGGGGCTGAGAGGCTGCAGGCTGCAGTCGCAGCTCTCTGATAAGACACAGCAATCGCTCTGTCAATTTAAAAGGAAACACACTGGTTATTAGAAGCAATTTGAAATAGCTTTTATTAGTGGCATGTGTCAGGTGATACCAAATAATGACCATAATAAAATGATTTATTTTGCACAGATACAAAGTATATCTAGTGTTTGGTTCGTGATTAAATATTTTGGTATTTTGCTTTGTTTTAAGTGTCCTTAAAGAAAGCATGCAACAGAGTTGTCATGTGGTACTCCAAAATAATATTTATATTTATTTGTGTATGTTTTAGAGATGTTGATATTATTGCAAACATCTGTGCATCAATATGTGTTATGTGGGTATTCCTTATTTTTCTGGGATTTCTACTCTGCCAGTTCAGAAAAGGGTGTAGTTACTTGCATATTGGAGTGTGGAAATGATAAAAAAAACTCATATATTGTGATCAAAATTGTCATAGGAAGCTTAATTTCACCACGTTGGCCTACTGGTTTCTGCCTTTAGTAACCCAGCATCTGTTAAGTGTTAGATAATTAAGATCAGCTAAATCCATTTGTCATAGCAAACAATCTACATCTTATGGAGTAATTTATACAAATTCTCCAAGCTCTTTTGCCTTTTTGGATGTAAAGCTGCAGGATGGTGTAACTCAGCTCAGTGGGTTTTAACCCCGTTATGTCAGTATGTGACCGGTCTTCCCCTCTGTCAACCTAGAGGAGGTGAAGAGTCAGATCAGGATCAGAAAAGCAGCAGGAAAGTGGATTTTCTGTCATTTCCTGCCAACCCTGTTATCCATCAGCCTAACTAATGGACCCGGAAGGAATACAGAGAGGCAGAGAGAGGGAGAGAGGTGATGGAGTAAAGCGTGTTTCAGCTGAAACAAGCTGCAGTAATGTTTCCAGTTGCTCTCATCAACATGCAGATGTGTTCTGGTGAAAGCACAGTCACCTCTCAGTCATCTGAACAGACACTGATGCAGCTGTTTACAGCGCTAATGTCGGCTTTCGCAGCTGCTGTTTACAATGCTGTGAAGGAGGGTGAATGATGAAGGGATTTAAGTCAATAAAGTGAACAGATAGAGGTGAGAGTGCACATCTGTCTTGAGGAGTGATAGACGCAGACTGGAAGCTGAATCATTGACAGTCTGTCATTGTGACTGTAATGAGGGTGTGGGTGAGGTATTGTGTGTGTGTGCTAATCATTAGAGTCAATGGGCTGCCACTATTGTCCCACTCTGATAACAGGGGAAATGTGAGGCGGAGTCAATGAACCTGTCAGTGTGATTTTTATTGAACGGCTCGTTCTACTGAGTGAGAGGTTAAAAGTTCAATCACAGATAAGTAAGTTTTATTTCTGAGCACTCAAGGGTTCCAGTTAGTAAACCTGTACGCTTTATTTCACATTCAGCATTAAGATCTTAAGTTTCTTTTTCTTTTTTAAGAGAAAAATCTGCCCATGGCCTAAAATAAGTGCTGCCTTGCCAGAAAAATAGAAAAATGGATGAAACGTTTTTTGTTACAACAATATGTTAAATGTTTCGCACTATAACCAGATAACTAGTATATTTATATAACAATAACGAATGTGATACGTTTTTGTACTGTAATAATGTGAAAAACATCTTGTTAAAACATTAAACTTCTAACCTTATAAAATGATACTGACCTGGAGTGGCAGCAACACACCTCCATATGATATCTCCATTTATTCTCAATGAAATCATCCTCATTTCAGGGTGAATTTAGAAATGAGTGCCAGTATCTCAAAGAATGAGGCAGGTCACTGCAATTCTGTTAAAGGAATAGTTTTGGGACAATTATTTGCCGTCTTGTCAAGAAGAATATTGATGCCACTCCAATGTCTGTACAGTCAACATGAAGCTACAATCAGCTCCACAATGTGTCGTTTTTACACTTCGGTTTTTGCTCGGTTTAAACAAATGAGACATGATTTAACTAGTGAGCTTTAGAGGCGCTTGAAGAGGAATTTTTGTTACCTTTGGATAAAGCTTAGCTTAGCACAAATACTGGAAACAAGTGAAGGTAATTGTATCAATGTTCTCCTCTTCCATTTGGCAAGAAAGCAAATAAATGTATTTCCCAAACTATCCTTTAATGAACTGTCACATGATTCCAGAAACAATTACCAACTGCTTTTGTTTCAAGAAAATGATTCCTTCTTCCAGTGTAGTTTTGTGCTGCGTCGGTCAAAGCCTCGCTCTCATGCTTCCCTCTTCAGAGTCTGATGAGATGGATCCAGACCTGGCCAGGTTGGTGTCTCTCGGTTTTGCCGGCTGTCTCTCTGTGGTCCAGTTTAACTCCATCAGTCCTCTGAAAGCTGCTCTGCTCCACCCGGACACCAGCCCTGTCATCATCACCGGACCTTTAGTCCAGTCCAACTGCGGCTCCTCGGCTGCAGCCAATCCCTACGCAGCAGAGAACACACACCACCTGTCAGGTAGGAGAGGAGCAGTTGGAGCAATGTGAGAGAGATTTTAATGCACTATTGACTGTTTTTAGTTCCTGTAGTGTGAGAGGAGGTTTTGGGTTTAAAAGTTTGTTAGGAGTCAGTTTGTAAGGAATTTTCAGTGTACCTTTTGGCAGAGAGTGGGTGAGATTGAAGTTATATCATAACACAGTATTGACATTTCATCACCTGCTGCGGCTGAAAACAGTGCTGTGAGAGCGGTGAGTGAATCGAAATAGTAAAGTTGTGGACTGAACAGAAAAACAATGAGCTGAAACTCCATAAAGCTCCATAAAGCCTGGGGGGGCTGCAGATTCAGTTGATACGTTATTATCTCTATCTCACTAAGGCGACCCTTTTCACTTGCCTCTTTGTTTTCACATTGTAATTTGATATGTCATAAAAATACTGATTACAGCTGCTTTAAATACGGTGAAAACCTGCAGCCGAGGGGAATCATAACCTTGTGAGGCTGCTGGACTCGCGCAAGAATCCATATTGCCAGGTCTCGAGCTACTCGGTTGCATGCTTTGGACCAATCAGAGTCCAGTGTGTGAGAAGTGACTGTTTCTGCCCGAAAACAACTGGAGAATATTTCTTCATTGAAAGAAGAGCAAAGAACGGCACTGAAGACTTAAAAAGATGTTTTTCATTCTTCTCCCAACTGGCTTCAATAAGAGTTTGACAACGTAATATGATTTGTTGATCTGATTGAAGTTTCCAATGACAAATCTTTGCCCCAGCAGCCCCTCAGGTTAATGCGTCCATGACTGTGAAGTTTGTTGATCAGAAAAAAGCCCAAGGGTTTCCCCAAGTGTTTTTTAAATGAAAGGAAAGAATCGCCTACGCTCCCTCAAATCACCTACGGCTGTTCAAAGCAGACAGGAGTTGCATTCATGCATTAATATTTGACAACACGACTAACGGGAGAAAAGTGCAACCCCCTCCTCCTCTAAAAAAAGGTCACTCAGAGGAGGCTTTTGCCCTCTCATTTTAAATGTCACTGCTCTTCTCTTTGCCCTAAATGCCCGATAACTGCTGACCCGTTTTCCACATTATGTTTTGTTAAATGTGTAGTAGTGTCGGCTAAAAGCCTGACAGAAATAAAAAAAAGAGTTAGGTGTTGAACTGTGCCCCTGGGAACGATGCATGCATAGAAATCTGTGAGCGTATGTCATTTCCTTTGTTTTCCCCCCTTTTGTTTCTGCGTGTCTATTCTCAGTAGCAGCTTCCATTTCAAACTGCATAACGGGCTCATTAAGTATGTTCACCTTGTTGAGAAGAGTCCTGACAGTGTGCTTGATGAGATAATTAATCTGGACCACAGAGAGGAGCTTCCAGTCGCAGTTCCTTCCCCTGGTCTTTTTTTGTTTCATCCAGTTTCTTGTTGCTTGAATAGAGTCGTTGGGGGAGCTGCTGCTGTCCTCCCTGTCTGCTCTGAATGATGATACTGTGATGTTGTCTCTCTTTTCTATTCTGACCTTATTATTCTTTTTCTCTTGTTTTCTTATCACGCTGTCTCCCCACCGTTTCTGCTTTCCTGTTATTCTTCTCAACGTCTCCTCTTCTAATACTTCGGTTTTTCATTTTCTTTTCTCTTCTATTTTGTTTTTTATCTTCTATCCTCCAACCTTTCATTTCTTCTACCTATCTCTTTCTCTGCTGTAGACCAGTCTGGCTCAGTGGGTTCAGGTCAACCTTTAGTCAATGCCATCAGGACTGACTCGGCTCTGATTGGAGGTACTGAACTGTTTCACCATCTTTCACTGTACTGGAAGCTGTTTCACCTTGTTTTATGATGTTTGTATTGGACTTTTAACGGTCGTTGTCAGAGATTACACTCAATATTTTATCGATGAGTGATGTTCTGCTGAAAGCCAGTAAAGGTAAGAAAAAAATTCCATCAAGAGTAAAACGTTACCGCTAAATGTTTTTGCTCTCCTGCCCACCTAGATTGATACAAAGTAAAGACTGAATGGTTCCTATAAGCATGCTGATAGAAAAAAAGTGCGAGAGTCAGAAGTCATTTAACAGTGTCCATTAAATCTCTGTGACTCTGCGTCTCGGAGCACAAAGGACAGCTGAACTAATTAAACCTCCGCTGAAATAACTTGCTGATGGAGAAACTTTCACACTCTCTTCAAATGCAAACTAAAGTAATATAGTGCGAAATTGATTTCAGCTGTATTTTGGAATTCCAATTAGATGAAACTTTCTCTGGATAATGAAATGTGCTGAACACAAGAGCCAAAATGTGTGAGATTCGGGCTCACTGTGTGCTGGTGTTAGATTAGTAAAACAACCAGACAGCAGGGCAAAAGAACTCACATGGGGGGAGGCGGAGATACTTAGTCCATTGTGATAGATTTACTCTGCAGGACGTAAGCGTCTTTCAGCATGTAGAAAGATAAACACACAAAGGTCACAGCTGAGTTACAATATGGTCTCAGCTGGTCCGTAGGTCCACATGATCAGACTTTACATTAACTATAAAGCTTCACCGTTTTATACTTTGTAGAATTTAGTTTTTCCACCTCCTACACAGCCTTGGGGCTCAGTTCATTTCACTGTATAAAACAGATTTTCAGAGATTTAACGTGAGCGTATTCAGGTAATCTGTAGCAGCAGGAATTTTCAGAATGATTTGGAAAAACCTTCAACACCACCATGATGTAATCTGAGCCTCATTAATCGTCATCCTGCACTGCAATGTCGACAAAACAATGATTTATAGTGAATGAGATAGTGAAAATAAAACACTTATGTAAAATAATAAGGTGACCATTGTGAGAAAATCAACTGTGTGATTAATAGATAAACCATGCACGCAGTTCTTTCATTCAATTGTGTCATTTCAATTGAGATCTCATCTTCTCATCAATCTCCGAGTAAGAAATCAAACAAGTATAACATATCTCAGAGTAAACTTCCTCTACCTTGCAGGTGTCATAGCAGTGGTCATCTTTGTGATTGTGACTGGCCTGGCGATAACTGCCAGATTCCTCTACCGGAGAAAAGAGACATATCGGAACCAGGAAGTGAAGGGAGTCAAACAGGAGGACAGCCCAGATTTCCCTTTCAACAACCAGGCCGACTCGCAGAATGTCTCCTGTGAAAACCCAAAGGAGTATTTCATTTAACCGGAGGCCTGATGACCTGATGAACTGGAGGATTTAGGAGCAGAGGGTGCAGACAGGGGTGTCCTGTCACGCCTCAGGACTTTACACTGCTCTCAGAGCCCCTCAGAGACTTTACCGGCCGAAGTGGCTCCACAGAATATGGAAAGCAGAAAAGGAACAATGCACACAGTTTTATCTTTTACTGCAAATTGTGAATATACTGATACAAATAGGCAACAGTGATGGACTGATAAGATGTTGATATCCTTGTTTCAAAAAGTGTAAATATTCAAAAATGTACATGTGGAAGTAATGTCTACTGCAATCTCTTAACTAACGTCACTCTGTCATATTGAAATACTTCTAAGGGAAACAGATTGTTGTTTTTAAGGGTTGATTTAGCATATTCAAACACAACTTTATTTCAGTGAATCTGGGTTTTTTGCAATCGTGACTGGAGTCGTTTGGCTGATGCACCTTTCTATGAGGACAGTGAATGGATGGAAATGTTTGACCTGTAATTAGGCCCTCAGGAAGAGTACTTATGTAAGAGCTTATGTTTGGTGGTGTGTTCATGTGTAATGCCTTTATGTTGTGTGCAGTGCTTTGGGGGAGTAACAGTACGAACTCTTTGGAGGCTGTGGAGCCTCAAAGCTTGTGTGAGCTTGCATACTTGTCTTTGCAGCCTGTATACATCCAGCAAAACCAGAACATTGTTTGGTGATATTCTAACTCCAGTCGGCACGTGAATTAAACATTTTCATGAGTGATTTTCTTTCGGCAGCAATGTGCTACAACAGAATTAAGGTGTCATCTTCAATGACTTTGCAGTCGCACTCCAATCACGCACATCGCCATCAGCACATTTGTACCATTTTAGAAATGGTACACCGCAGTCTGGCAGCTACCGGTCGACAGACGTGGAGACTTTTCAGACAGTAGGGACTAGTTTTCCACTTCCTTTCCATTTTAACTCTTTTTTTTTCCTCTTCTCATACTCTTTTCTTTAGTCAGTTCTTTCAATTATGACATGAAAAGCAGGGAACAAAAATACCTCCATGAGCATTGAATGTTTTTAGTTTCAGAGCCCTTGCAAGGTTTTCATAAAAGGCTTGTACAGGTTGTTCACTTTATTATAAAAGTTTTCTCTTCCCTGCTGTATGCCGCCTGCTGGGAGCTTTCTTCTGCCAGCTCTCTAAATGTCTCTGAAGAGTAAAGCTTTTAACACTGGCAGCACACAGGCTCTGTAACAGTGTGGCTGTCTGTCACCTCGTTCACTGCACGCAGAGGCAGTTAATGTGTTATTGAAATGCTAATCTGCTTCGGTATGACAGGTGGATTGTGACTCTATGGAAAGCAGAGAGATGATCAGAATGAGACAGAAAAATAATCCGAGAGAACGTGTCAAGCAGACACGGATGTAATGAAACCAGCCTGATATTAACACTTGAAAATGAAGCAAATCCCCCCATGTGTTAATTCAGCTCATGTGTAAAGAGTGCTGAGAAGCAGAAAGAGAATCGACAGCAGCTGTTTATCAAACACACGCCGCCGTCTCTCTGCAAGACCCCAAAGCACAGATGGGATTTTAATGACAAAAGTTGCTAAAACTTCAAAGTGCATTATTCAACCCTTTGTTTGTTTTCCTTTTTTTCCCCCACCTCACAACAGCTGAAGCCACACATTGTTGTCTTTGCCACATCCTTGCTTCCAGAGAGTTCATCGTTTGGTGAAGAAGACATAGCGACTGTCCTTCATCCTGCAGCAGGACTGACTGCAGTGCTGTGTTTGATGGCTGAGAGGAGCTCCACAGGTTCCTCTGACAGCCTGATAATGTTGCAGGCTGAGCATAGCAAAATAAAACGTTTAACATTTGAGTTTTTCAGGCTGCGTCCACTGAGAGTGCGGTATAGCAGCAAGTGCACTGAGGTAAACAGGTATTTATGCCAGCAAGGAAACAGATGTTTGGCCTCAGTATACGTTTTATGTTTTTCCAAACCATTTTCAGGCAGCAGAACAAGAATATCACAACATTTTGGTTTATCTCACATTTAAAAGCTTAAAAACTAAATTCATCCACGTATCTTCATTAAGAATATGGCCAGCTAACACGCGAGCCAGCCGGGAACCTCACAATATTGTTGTTGTCATTTCATTAAATGGAAAACTTTTTGGACACTCTCAGAGGTCATGAGCTTGCTGACTGCTTGCCAACTGTCCCTTAGCGAGCTTGTTAGCGTTGTTGCTGGCGGGACAATAAGCTCACACAGTTTATTCAAAAGATGCATCTGAGAGCGGTTTCTCTGTTCGTGGAGCAGTTTATACTCTGACAGAGGAGCTTCGATTAAACTGGAGGTTCTCTCTAACCTGCTATTGGTCAGTGGCAAACACTGGCACTGACAAACTCCTGTGAGCAAATCCACCACTGCTGCCGATTTTACTGGAGTTAATTCAATTTACTACAGAAATGTTCGTCATTTTAAAAGCTGCTGAGACTTAAGGGCGGTGATATTCTGCGGTTTCCTTACTGTCATCAAATCCCACACAACGGCCAAAAGAAAGAATTAATTGCCCCAGCTAACGACGGTTGTCTGTGTATCCTAAGGCTGATCTTGTTCCTCGGTGTCCTAGAGCTCCATTATTGTCCCAAAGCTATAAACAACAACAACAACCCTGCATTGAGTCACAGTGCTGCACTCAGTGACATATTCCTTAATTGGCACAAACACACTGTAGGTTATTTTGAGTCAGACCCACATACAGCATCCTGCTGCTGAAAATAGTCCCTAACAAATGCACTATTTTGAGTAACGTTTGCTAAAAACTTCAGTGCCCAGCTGTTTTTAGGAAATTACCAAGCCTTATTTAAAACTGGAACTATGCATTTGTGACCTGCTTTTGTGTCTTATATTGACATCTTCAGTTGGAACCAATGGGTTCTGGGACTGAGGCCACAGGCAGGTTAGGGAAGTCTTATACTTTGGGCGATAGGACGGATGAATTTGGTCTTTTAATGGGATTTGTTGACAGTAAGAAAAAGAATATAAAACGATTTTATCCTTTAAGGAGTGTTCTGTTTTTGATGCACTGGTTTAAAGTTGAAGTTTGTTCAGTGTAACTGTAGTGTTGGTGAATAACAATGATGTTGTGAGTGATAAAGCCACAGAAATATTCAGATTTTACCCATATTGTGGTTGTTTGGTTATCAACAATATTCTGTTTAATGAAAATAAAAAAAAAATTTCTTTCCTTTTTCTTTTTTCAAACGATCATGTTTTTCAGCTGGAGGTTCTTTCTGCTTTACAAATGAATCATCAGATTAATAAATGTTAACAGGAGACACTCTGATTCTGCTCGTGAACCAATTTGTCCTTAAATGTACATGTCTGAAGGACTCTACAGTGAAAGAAAAATCACATTTGTTGAAGTATTTTCAAACCATTAAAAACCACAAAGCTCTTTTATTTATTTTTTTGGTTAAATGAAGCCGACACAAGGCAAAGTCTTCCCCCTCAACAACCAGGACAATTTACATACATTTGCATCTTTTATATCTCCTCGTTCAAACCGTAGTGTGGGAGATAGTAACACATCTATCAGTACTGACATTTCTGATGGCTGTTAACACTCAAACCAGAGATGAGGGAAATATGTAAAGCTGTGATGATATCAAAGTGATTCTCTGTGACGATCCACTTACCCTCTGTGCCTCTTTAAACTCTCAGACGCCCGAGATGATTCAGCCGCCTCAGATCAGTGATCCCTGCTTGATTCATTCAAATCTCCTCTTATTGGTTGTGATCAGAGCCACGCTTGATAACTGACATCTTCTGCATCATCAGCGATATCAAAGAAAACCACAACATCATAAGGATCGGCTAATCTACTGCCAACTGGAATTTAAATTGCGAAAAAAGATTCGGTCTCATCTGTAGGCAGTGTGCAGTTAATGGGACACAGCTCTGTTTATTCCTGGAGAAAACTTGAATTTATCATTTTCTAGGGTGACCTTTTGAAAAACCTTCTATGTGCTGAATCAACACATTTCATCTGTGGTGACGTTCATGCAGCTCAAGGGATCATGTAGCTCACTTCTTTGTGTTCCTTTAGTTTGTATCTATTCACACTGTGGTCGAAGCTAAAGAGCCGCAAACAGTCCGCTGTGTGCACCTCTTTAAAGTACAATTAACTGCTTTGTATTTCCTTCTAGCGCCAGTACTGCTTGTCGATAAAGAAAACTATCAATTCTGCTCAGCCACAGCACATTTAGTATATGATGTGTATTCATGCATGTTTAATATGCATATTTAAATTAGCAGAATACAAATAATGTACTGAGTTAAGATAAAGATATGGAGCAACAAAGTATTCGATGTCAGTTAAATGAAAAAAGACATTGTGAAATGAATAAACATGAATAAATTGGGAGAACATATATAAATCAACCAACAATTTGTGAGATAATTGAAGCAATTATTAAAAAAACTGAACTCATTTCATTTCATACTGTCACTTTTTTCTGGCAGCAGCGTTCATCTTTATATTTTATACACTTTATTCATGTGATTATTTATTTCATAATTACTCATTTATTCATTTATTTCATATCCTCCATGTAAAGAAACAGTGCTAAAGACAAGTCATGACTTAAAACATAATCAATAATTAATCATACAGGCCTCAGTAATAGAAGTCTTTATACTTCCCTTTTACAAGATACCATACAATTAAGAAAATGTGTTTTAAAAAAGAGGATTGAACATGATAATAATGAACTTGCACAGTGACAATGCCAACTAATGCCTATTTTTTTTTACCACATTCACCCTCTTAGTTTAGCATTCTAACATTTGCAAATTGGCTCTTAACACTCAATAAAGCTGAGGCTGATGTTATTGTCAATAGTATTGCAGGCGAGAGAGAAAGTCAGGGGAGCACCAGTGTCAGTAGGTCACATTCCCTAACACACTGTGGATATATGTACCTAATCAAAATCCAGTAGGACACAGGATTTCACAGGATAAGTGAAAACTTTCACCTGCTGGTGGTGCAGGAACCACCAGAGTTAAAAGGTTTCTTCCTCTGGGGAACACAAAGGTCTGTACGAACAGTTGAGTTGTTTCAGTCTGGATCAAAGGGGACCAACAACATTGCCATATACATAGAACAAAAGCTAAAGTGGCCACAAAAGAAAAGGGTGTTAATACTGTAGATCTTCACAACACATCTTGATTTATTTGGACTGCCAGTTCAAAACACAGTACTTTAAAATAACGTGCAACCACAATGAGCCCCGACTGAAACAAAGGTCCTGCATGATGAATGCTGGATCGACTGCAGGTTCACTAACAGTAGCTTCTCTTTTCCAGTAACGTCAGACATCGTCCATTATTACTGTTTACCGCTGTATCTCCAGGTATATGCAAGAGATTGTATTTGGATGTGGAATGAATGCGCAACATTGCCCATTTGTTTTACAGCAGTGTCACGACGGTCGATGGATTGAGCCTGTGTGGGAGTAAATCACCACAGTGCTGCCAGCAGATACAGAGTTACTGCAGCACCACTTCCCTGCAGATGAATAATTTAAACTTTATTGGAGTCTCTTTGCCTTTGTTTTTCTTTGTTTTATGAATGACCGAATGGGCGATCTAAGGGTCGATCTATAGGTCACATTAACATACAACAATGAAGCCTGATGATCCCATAATGAAACAGAAAGCTCGCTGAGATCAGACACCATCAGTCATCCTTTCTTCCTGTCATTACAGTATATTGATTCTGCTTCTCTTTCTTCCTCCTCTTGGCGTGTTGACCATTTTGGTGGCTTAAATCCCTCAATTATTCACCTCTACACCCTCTCAGGGATGTAAACAGCAGCTTTAAGAGCTGTAATTACTGCGGCATCCAGCTGTATTAGGGTAGGCTGTGCAGATGACGGAGGGGTGAGTGTGATTGTAGCAGGACAGATCTGCATGTTGATGAGAGCAGCTGAAGCAGGCAGGGCGGCTCTGGAAGTGTTTTATTTCCTTGTGATGATAAAGTAATTACGTTGTGCGCTCCGCATATACCCCGGACTGTGTTCTTATGATCCTCAGATAAAAAAATGTGCAAGACTCTGATGTTGTAATCATGTACAAACACTGTTCCTCAAACAAGACAGCAGCAAATAACACAAATGTATTGTCCGAATAGTAAACATGTGGGGGCTGATAATGGTTGGAAATAGAAATAACTGTTTTGTTATCAGGAGAAAACAAAGCTTGCTGCGCTGAGATATAAAAAAAAAAGTTATTTCGTGATTACAAGAAAACAAAATACATAAACCTTCATAGTCTTTAGGCGTCTGTTTAATGATGTTATTTACTGTACTGGTGTTTTTATTCACAAGAAAGTAAAGACAGATGATGCACACCTGAAAACGAGTGACCTGTTTGCTGATGAAGGTCATGTAATATGATCAAAAGCTACAGAACAGCTGCTAAATTTTGTTTACTGGTGTTTGCAAGGTTACAAACAATGTGGAGAAATGTGGTGGAAATTAATTCAGTTTATTCTGATACTGTAGGCTCCTTAAGTATTTTACTTAAGTCTACTGTTTTCGGTTTCTGTTATTTATTTCCCGTTTTATTGTGTAGTGTCTTTCACTTTACTTCCTGTCTTTGTCTGTTTTCCCACCAGTTTGGATTGTCTGATTATTTTCACCTGTGCCTTGTTATCCTCCCCCTCACCTGTGTATCCGGTGTTGGGGTGTCTTTGTTCCCTCGTGTTTTCTCTATATTGTTCAGACTACTTTCAGTTTATGGACTTCTGGATTTATTGGATGCCTTTTGCCTGTTTCGTTTCGGACTACCGCCATGGTTTTGTAAGTTTATGTTTCACCACATTTGCAGTTAAAGTCCGGGTGAACCCTTTAAGATTTCCTCCTCAGTTGATGTACCCCTATTTAACAATGTATGCCAAACAATTCAAAACTCTCTATGTGAAACAAAGTTCAACGCGTTATTACGTAACCATGAACAAACCAATTTCAACCAATAATATCACGACATTCACTTGTCAGTTTTCAACTTTTAGCGACACAGAGCGAAGATTTATTTATTAGTTAGTTAACTAGGTAACAACAGCATGGCTAGCTACCGGAGCAGGAGTGTTAATCACTGATAACTGTACACACAACTTTATCTCTTGTACAAAAGCACAACTTTATTATATGAAACTGGGTCAGATTCAATGGAGATAAATATTGTCTGCCTCATCTCCGATAACTGCTAATGTAGCTCCACTTTTACTAGCTGCAACATTAAAAGAATATTATAAAACAATAATATTACTGTAACAGGCCAATCTGCATAATGAGCACTTTATATACTATATATTATGATGCTGTGTACTTAAAGCAACAACAATGAACTTTAATGTTGTGTTGATTCTGTTTGCATTTAACAAGCAGAAGTTAAAAACAACTCAAAGTTAGCACAGATAGTTGCATGACTGTTTCTTTATTTCCCAGCTCAATATAAATGTTGAAATGTTGTATTTAATGACTCCTGTGTCACAACATGGCTCCTCTAATCTGTTGCTTTTCCCTGGAACTATTTTTCTCTCTCATCAGTCTATCTCCTCCTCCTCCTCCTCCTCTTTCTTCCATCTGTTCTCTCTCTCTCTATCTCCTCCTACCATGTCCTTGTGGCCAGCAGCTCTTCATCCCATGATGCAGATGATGGTGTTGTTTACCCTGCAGGAGGAAGCGGAGCCTCACGGAGGAAACGAGAGGAACCGACAAGATTGCTGCTGCTGACTGACGACCGCTCGCTGATCACTGTACGTTCATTTCTACTAATTTAACACACATTGTTCATAAATTACGGTCATTCATACATTATGATCCTCAGCCACTTTATTCACAGTGGAAAGGGAAGATGACTCAGTCAACTCTTAAATTGAATTAAACACTCAGCATTAACTGCTGGCTCTGTAATAATTCTAATATGAATGTGCTGAATAATTTAGAAATTAAAACTAAGATCTGCTTTTCCATGAGTGTGTTAGAAGGAGAAATGAGATTAGCAGAGCAAATAAAATCACTGAGGCTGTGAGGAGTTTTAAACCTTGGCATACAGCCACTGGTGCTGTAATAGTATTGCATTATGGTGATGCAATAGCTTACGTTTTGTTTCTAAATTAGACTCTTGGATCATAACTTTATATTGTGATGTCTGCAGGGCAAAAGCACCTCCCAGTGGCACTGAATGAGAAAACTTAATTG